GTGTTTGTGTGTGTGTGTGTGTGTATCGCTGATAACTTAAGTTGCCTGGAATCGGGCACAGCTGTCAACGATGTGCAACGATGTGAATGTGGTGTATTTGTGTGAGTGTGTCTGTGTGAGTATGGCTCTTGTGGCAGCTGCCGCTTCAATGAGCTGCTGCTGCTGCTGCTTCTTCCATCCGATAGGTGGGCTGATTAACCAATATGTGGCCAAATATTGGAGTTGGCATTAAATTTATGTTAATAGACCGCCACACAATTTGCTGTTGGTCGTTGTCGATTTTTGTCTGTGATAAATGTGTCCCGAAAGTTTCATAATAATCGCAAACAGCAAAAAAAAACAAAAAAAAAAAAACAAAAATAAAAGAACCCAATGCACCATGTGGCGCCATAAAGCGACCGAAATAAGTCCACATGAGACTGTATTGAAAGACAAGCTAAAAAGCTCCATCAAGGCCGACACACATGTGCCTTCCACTCCTTCCTCTCCCCTCTCCCGGGGCCAATCAAGTCGAGTCAATGCCTTGCAGCAGCCATTGTCGGTCAATTAGAGGCATCGTCAGCTCAGCTGCTGACCGTTTTGCTACCCTTGCAGAGGGTATTGACCAAAAAACAGTCCACAAAATTAAAGTTACAATTTATATGATTTAAAATTAAAAGTTAATAATTCAACTCAGTTTTCAAATGAAAGAATAATAATAAAATAAGGGATGTAATAAATCTGGGAGTATTAAAATGCGAAATGGTCCAAAATGTATTACAAGGAATGGAGATAAGGAAAATTGTTAAGCATCAGTATTAATGATAGTAAGATAAAGTGAAAGAGAAGTCTCTGAACCTCTGAAGTGAGATAAGTTAACCATAGTTAAGCAATTTAATTTAAATAATTGCTAAGATATCCAGCCTAAACTCAATCAATATCATATGACTACCATTAAAACAATCGTTCGGGGAAGTTTACTTTCTGCAGCTGAACTTCATTCTACAAGGGTATGTAGTTTTCGGTATGTCAGAAATATCCCGTCTTTCTTTCTGTTATTTTTATTGTTGTTAGGCCTGTGGCATGATTCGAATGCAAACAAGCCAGCTGCCGCTGGCGACTTCATCTGCAACAGTTTCATGCACGACTGAGTGGGTCAGAAGCTGAGGGCCATTGTATCCCTTATTATACTCTTGCAAAAGCACATTAGCACTTTGTAGTGCAATGTGTAAAGCAGCGAAAGTGGACTGATCACTGCATCCATAAGATAAATATATTCTTGATCGCCATCAGTAGTCAAGTCGATGTAGAAGAGTTTGACTATCTATTCTTAGTATTTCATTGTAAAGCTATTTACCTTAATTCATTGGGCTTAGGCCATATATGAAGCAGTCTACATTCAGAAATAAATCGACCTGAAATTTAGAAAATAATGTTTTTCTTATTTTTATAAATAATTTCCAAATACTAAATTAGAATGGCGTAAATAAAAGTAGAGAAGTATAAATATAAAATCCATTTTCCAGTCGAAATGTACCATGAAATTAAGAAATGAACATTTTAAAAATATACTTTCGGAACAATATAGTGAATTTTTCGATTTTCTTTCTGTGTGCAAGCAATTCTTCTTTTTGTATTTAACAATAAATCTCGTATAATCAAACGAGTGAGGAATTTTTATTTACTCTTAAAATATTTTCATTGGCATTATTTTAATTTAAATTTCAGCAAAAGAGTAAATGAACTTCGGCTTTCCCAGTTTCTTTCTTTCTGGCTGCTGTTGCTTGCAATGCATCGCTGAATTTTCGCAACATGGCAAATCAAGCGTAAAGTCACAAGATGACAATGCCTGAGGAGAATAAGACCCTTTTTGTCTGCTTATCGTCAGGCCCAAGTTTTTCGGGGCCGAGCTTAAAGGGTTTTCTTTTGTATTTTATAAAGCATACGCAGCGTGCGCCGCGCATAAACTTTTTTGCATTATTTACCCACTTGTGCTTGGTGTATGGATGTATTAGTGTGAGTTTATGCGTGTGTGTTTGCATATTGTGCCTATATATATATATATATATATATATATATATGTGTGTGTGTGTATCTCGTGAGCTGCTGCTAACGTTAAGCAGCTTTAAAGGGCGACTTGTCCCCCCAACAAGTGCTGCCAGATGTAAGAAAGTCAACGCAAATAACGCGTTTTCCTAATTATTTACGTTTTAATCATTGAAAAAAAGTTAATTGCTATAAAACGGCGCAGGAAACAGAAAAGAAAGAAATTACAGCAAAAGTTAAACAACAAGCTGCTTGACTTTGAACTCCTTGAGAAGTGGCTCAGCACCTTAAGCCGACCTGTGCACAACATGTAAGAATTTATTATATAAAAGTCTTCTTTTTTTTTTTTGCATAAGTTAGGTCAGTTTCACAGAATGTTGGGCTTAAAACTCAACTAAATATATGCAGGTATCATTTTCAAGGATTCTTGTTGGTGGGATAAGGAAAAAATATTTATGCAGAAGTTCACATGCATACAAATTTAAAAACATTCTTGAGCTGGATGGCTACAGGATTTAAATTGATTAAGAGATTAAAATATTGCATAAATTTGTAAAGCATATATTTTCGCTTTGGTATATAAATGTGCAAGACTTAATCAACTCTAAATAAGCGAGAGCATTCCACACATATTTTTTCTCTTTAGCAAAGTCCAACCATGCCTTGGAATTATCCAGCAAGATTAAGATGTTGCTGCTGTAAGGACTAACTGTACCTTAAATATCGACATGCCTTCGAAGAGGAGCTATTCATAACTTGGGCAGCCGGCAGTTCGTTAAAGTGTTTGACAGCAGATTCAGGGGACAGCATCTTGCAGCTGTGGGGGCACGCACCGAATTGCACTTAGGGAGAGGAACAGGAAACTGACAACAACTAACAGGCGCGGTGCTCGTGGAATTTTGAGTCTGAGGGGCTAAACGACTTTGAAGCGTAATTCGATTATGCAGGAGTAAAAAGCAGGTCAGAGGGAAAGAGGGGGAGAGAGAGAGGAGGAGCAGGAAGCGAGCCGAGAAAGAGGCAGAGAGGTGCTGCTGCTGAGCATGGACATGGATACATTGTCGGCAGCTGATGATGCACGTCCAAACAGTGTGGCATGAGCCTAAATAGATTACAAATATGTTTTGATTCTCATAATGCTCAAGACTCCATGGCAATCATCGCAAGCCATCATCATTATTACCATAGTTCCAGTGTGTGTGGGCTCGTTAATTCAATTTTGTTTTGACATTGCTTAGATACTAAGCAATTGGCTTAAAGATGCCTGAGAAACTTCGATTTTGTTTCGTTTCGCTTGCAAATGTCAATTAGTGTCAATTAAACTGCACGACTCTCCCAGGACCAGGATGAGTTTGCCGTAATGAACTGCAAAGAACTCTGCCCCACCTCATGCTCCATCGTTCGCTCTCGCCATTCATTTTTCATTGTTTCAGTTGCAACACTGCGGCTGCCACTTGAGGCATTCTAGATTAACGCGCGCAATCTCTGCGTCTCGCTTACTGACAACGTTAATTGTGAAATGTTTAGAGAAACAAGAAAGTTTCCTTGTGTCGGCCACGCTTTACGCATGATGCAAGAATAAACTAACACATGGCAAAAGAAAGCGAAACATATCCAAAGAAAAATGTATTTTTAGAAATAGAAAAGCAGAAAATATACGTGATTAAACAAACGGACACACTTAAGCACTCTCACAACGAACCACATAATACACACACACACACACACACACTCACACACACACACACACACACACACACATCAGACGGTGTGTATTGAGTTCTCAAGAGTTCAGACAGCGGCACTCAAATTCGATTAGGGAGGCGAAAGAGTTAGTGACGCAATCCAAGTTACGCTGAACAAAGTTAAAGTCCGTGAATAATTGGAGTTGTGATATTGTTACGATAATCACAAGAAATACAAGAAATGTGGAATTCGTGAAACAAGAACATTTTTGGTATTGGTAAAGAAAACTCATAAGCGAACAGCACAAAGAATTCCATTCACAAGAAATTCTTTTGGGAAATTTCAACTTGTAAAGTTTTAATTGTGTGCCAAAATAACGCATAAATTTAGAATTTGTTGGGATACAATATGAAGCTGCTTAGAAATAAGTAGTTCTTAGAATGGATAGCATCACATGTATCTGAATAAAGATGCTGATAGACAATAAAGTAGCAAAAACAATTGATATTAATTTAAATAACCAACTAGTTTAATCATATGCAGATGATATTATTACTCATGTGATTTATAAACTGAATAATTTGCCTGAGCTAAATACTTAATTATTTAGAGCTGTATAATTGAATTTTATTAGGTAATTAAAACTCAGCATTGCATGTAGAATTTTTGCAACAAATTTCTCAATTATGTAAAACATAATTTATTGATTTACCAATTTCGTTGCCAGCAAAAAATGGTATATTAAATAGTATCGCAGCCACTTTTACCGCCCATGGCGTCCAACACCCCGCAACGCATTACCTGTCTCAGTCCCTGCCCCTCAGCCTGCCCCTTCTGGATGCGTGATTTTACACGCCATTTTTGTGGCTACTATTCGATGCCGTGCGTTGCTCGGACTTTGACCCAGTTTTGGGGGACTTGTGAAAAGCGAAACAGGTTAAAAATAAAATGCGAGTGGTCGAAGGGAAATGAAAAGGGGACTGGGTGGAAAAACATAAGAGACGCAATTCTATTCTATGTTTAATGCCGAAAAGTGAAATGAAAAATCACACAGCAAATTATGTTGCATGTTGTTATACATTTAGATTTAGTTTTTAAGTCACCGACAAATTTGAATTTTCGCATTATTCAGCTTTGCTTTCAGTTGCGTTGTTTATTTTTAAAACATGGCCGAGAAAACATTTTCTAAATACCTGCAAATATTTAAGAAATTTGTATTTTTTATTTAAATTTGGCAATTTTAAGTGTTTTTCATTTGCTTTATATTTCGCTTATCTTGTATTTATTTGCAGAGCACCGCAAACTCAGTTATGCACTCAAAAGTGCAACCACAGCAGCAGCAGCACCACCACCACAATAAACCACCAACAGCACACAAATAGCATTTTGCAGTCATTTACTTAGAAATCGAAGCACGAGTACAAAACAGCCAACAACAAGCACAGCTAATATAAAGCCACAGATAAGTCGGGTGAAACCAGAACCAGGAAAAACTCAGCTAACAAAATGGTGGACGACATTTCGCCCATGCATCATCGTATGCAAAAAAAGACGCGCAGCGCCTCGATTTGTGCCACTGGGGCAAGCATCGAGACAGTCATCCACAACATGCCCTCGGGCAGTGCCACGCCCGAGGGCGGCACACCCGGCTACAGACGTCGCCGCCCAGCCACACGCTCCCAAAGTGCACGCATCACCTCGGGCGCCAGATCGGTGAGTAGCACATAACTTTTGGGACACACTGTTTTAATTATTAATTAGTTGGCTGCTTATCGAATGAAATGCTTGCCTGCTCAATTCAGTTTTTGCGCACATTTTGTAGCTAGAATTTAGTGCTGTTTTCGTGAGTCCATAAATCATTAGCGATATTTAACTTACGTAATAAAACACATATTTAAATATAATTTTCAAATTACATCGTAAAAGAAAAAAGATGAGCAGACTACGTAAGTACATTAAGGTACACATAAATATCTCAATATATTTTAAGCATACTTAATAATCCATAAAACATAAAGAGCGGGGAAAGCTGTGGGAGCTGGAAAAAGGGAGAAAACCTTTTTTAAGTACAGGCAGGAAAATAATCAACCTGAAGGGTAGCTCACCTTATGATTCGTAGCCATTTTGCTAAAAGCTAGCTAAAGTTTTAAAAAAGATGCCAAATTTTTAGGCTGTTCTCATATGCGTCATACAGAATTATTACATTAGCTATTTTGTTGTTAGATAGTTTATAAATTCATATAATTTAATTTGGTGAGTGACTTCCCACCGAGCTACTCGATATCTGAGGCAGACAATGGACTAATATAGCAGTTTTTAGGAACCATGAAAATGGCTAGTTTTTATGATGAGTTTAATTTTAGGAAGATTATTTTTCTGAATGAACTAAGAGCTTATTTATTTATACACAGCAACTTTATGTTATGGGAGAGTACATTATGCGTAATTTTTGAAAAATTCTTCACATAAGTGTGAAAAGTGGTGGTGAAAACCTTTTGTTATTTATTTATTTATTTATTTACAGAGCTTAAAACTTCAGAGCTCGTTGGGAATGATATGGCTATTAGGGCCTTCATCTCTGTACTTAATTTATAGTAAAGTCAATATTATGCTTAATAAAATAATAATATTGTTAAATTACAACTTTGTAAGTAACTTATACTAATTTGTGCAAGCGGTTTAAGACTTAAAGAACATCTATTTATCCATCTATCAGAGAGTATAAAATATAATTGGAAATTTATGCATTCTGGAAATATGATTAATGGAATTTGTAAATGAAGTTAGTTTAGCTTATTAAATGTTTGTATTTTTTGGTTTAAGGAAAAACATTTCTAATATAGCTATTTACCACACTCTGAAACCAATGGCGAAATAATAATAATATACTGCCTAAAATATCTTCGTTGTCGTCTGTCACATTTTGTAGTACTTGACAAAGTATATTTTAGCTACTTTATCATGCGATTATTTCCAGTTTGTCCTGACTGTGTTGCCAAGTTGTTGCTTTTGCAATTTGCCGTAATTGCTTTATAAATAACTGCACAGCACGAGTGGGCCAAAGTGAAAATTGAGAAACTCCAGAGTAAAAACTACTCTCCACCAAACCTTTTAACTGTTGGCTTTATTGCTGTGGCAGCTGCTAGTTCATTGGACCCATTCGTGTTGCTTGGCTGCTAATCGGATTTATGTTTGCAATACGCCTGTGGCAGTTCAAATGTTGCAACCATTCAGTAGTTAGTTCAGAGTTGAACTGTTAACCACCAAATGCCTCTTGCGTGCCACAACAAAGTGGCAAGCTCGTCGTTTTCATTTAAATGCAAGTTTCTTCGAAATGTCTTCTCGCGAATACAAACACATGTGCGATAATTTATAGTTTGCCATTTATGAATTGCTCGACACACAGTATTAAGCGATTGTCAGCGGAAACTTATTGGTTGCCGAGGCGCCCCACTTGAAACTACAGAGTTACTTTATCTATGTATATAGCTGGATCATCAATAATTTGACGCAACCAGTGAGGGACTTAGTGCATAGATCATTTGATGGACGAGTCCACGCTCACGTCCCGCCTGTCTGCTGTAGGCGCCATCGCGGAGAAGGGCAATTCGGGAACTCAGCTGATTCATGCGCAACTCATTCTCCAAATCTGAAGCATTGACATATGTGGAATGGTTGTGATCTAACTCACTGTGCGACTCTTCCCTTAACATCGACATCTTTATGACACGCCGATTGCATCGACTCAGCTGTGCCCTTCTTTTATTTTCCTTATTTTCCCCAGGCATGGGCGTAACTGTTGGCCTCTCGGGGCAGGGCTGCGGGGGGCGAAGGCAGTGGCAATAGCCAAGATTGTGCAGCAGATACTCCTCGAACTCCTCGGACGGCGTCAACAATTTCTGATAGCTCTCGAGCGCATTGATATCCGCCGGATCGAGCATATTTGCACCGCAGTCCAGTTTCAGAAAGTGACTATAGAAATAGTTGAATAGCTCCTTGACCAGACCAATGAAGAACTTGACTGGCTTGTGGAATGCATCGCCCAATATGAGCGGAGTTTCATCATTCAAATCCAACTTGTTGAACGCCCGCCGAAAGGCGATGAGATTTGAGCGCATGTTTTTAATGCCACGATTCAAGGATTGATTGGAGCCGAGTATGATCTGATAGTGCAACTGATATTTTTTGATCATAGCATCATCGCCTTCAGCGTTGATTGCTGCCGGCCTCCGGCAGTGTGAGTCTGATCGTAAGAGAAGCTCTTGATTCAGTGGATGTAGCGTCTCGGCAGCGATGCGCTGCAGTCCAAGCTCCTTGAGCCACTCCCTGTAGTAGGTCCTGTACGCCTCGTCCAGATGCAGCAGCTCCCTCAGCACAGTTACCTCAATGCCCTCATGCTTCCGTTGGATCATGCTCAGCACCGGAGCCAATGCATTCTTCTCATGTATTGAATAGATGCTGGGATTCATCAAATAAGTTGTCAGCCGCGGTTCGATCATTTCACAGTCTAGAATTTTCATTTAAATATACAAAATAGAAGAGTCAACAAATATTATATTTCTTTATATATATATGGAATTTTTTTTTCAGAGCACATCTGACTAACAGTTCTAACTTGATCAATGTTTGTTCAAGTCAAAGAGAATCTACTTGTTTTAGAATAAATTATAAGCAGCTTTGTATGTATTAAATTACACTTAATCCCTTGATATGTCCAGAATTTAGGTATATACAACAATATTCAAAGAATTTGGTATTTTATGAATAAGTTCTAATACATTTAAATACGCATTTCAATAAACAGCTCACTTCTTCAGCCACATCCAATATATGAGTATAATATCGAATACAGATTTCACTAAACTAATTTTAGAACCATACATTTTCTATTATTTTGCAAAAGTTCAGCTATTGCCAGTATGTATATATACATATATACTCGTATATATATATACCAATATTTAAGACAATATTTTCCTCTCGAGGGATAAACACAAATATAGATATTAATGGAAAGTAGTTTAAACCAAAATGTTGTTGGTTTGGAGATTTGCATTGAAATCATTTCACAATATTAATCGATTTGGACGCAAATCCCCACGGCGAGTTTATTTTTGTTGCCGCTTGATAATGAAATCGGAACAACGCCCGAGGGATGTGTGACGTGTAAGTGTTCCGGATATAGTGTGTGTGTGTGTGTGTGTGTGTTGGTGTGTGTATATGGCCAATTGGCAGGACAACAGTTTGACAGTTTGCCTGCGGCAAGCAGGCGACAGATATCAGACAGGAGACAGCAGGCATTGAGTTTCACATCATAACAAAAACCCGATATGGAATCAAATCGTGCCACAGCTAAAGGCGACAGTGCTGACAATCTAGTAAAGCATGCCACGTGCCATTTAAGATCTTTGCATGTCCCCAAATGGGGACACTTTTGTGTCGTTTAAGCTGCGTCTCTGCGACCCCACAATGACTCCGTTATCAGCTCCATCTGCATTTTGATTGAGCTCCTGTGTGTGCCAGTCTGTGTGTATGCGTGTCTGCGAATTGAATTATGTGCTGGGGTAAATTCAATTTTTGATGCGATGCCGCACAAGGGCAACATCACGTGTCAAAGAACGCGTCCCACATGGCGTATGCGTGTTGACTCACTAAGACCCAAACTCCTTTAGAAAACAGCACAAAAATTATCTTTACTTTTTGGAAATAATTTTTAATTTTAAAGTTAGAAACGCTTTTCCTTAAGAGACTAAGACAAGTCTTTAGAGCGATTAGAAACTTCATTATGAAATTTAGAGAAATATCCCAAAGCTTTAAATGCAATTTGTAAATGTTAATAGATATTTCAAAGCAACACCAGCGGAATGTGCAGCAGAGTTACAGCTAAAAATGTCAACGATGCGCTGCAAGTGGCGACATTTCAACTATGTAGCAAACAAAGAAGTTTGCGCTTTGCTGTAAAGCACACATGCTGCACTTGGTTGGCACTGGTTGGTGGGCGTGGCACTCATCACCATAGAGGAGAGTATCAGCTCGCAAATGGAATGTAATGAGTTTTTGTTTCTTGCTTGAGTCTAACTTTCAGCTCACACGATGTTTTAATAAGTTCACAGCAAAAGTTTTACGAGATTGTGGAATGGGTCCTCAGACGAACATGAGACGTCCTCCGACGAACATGTGGGACAAGAGACGAAGATGCAGTGGGGAAAGCGGTTGTTGAGACAGGGTGGTGACAATTTAAAAGACGTCGCACTCCCAGATTGGTATAGAAGTTGAACTGCAAAACCGAATAATAACAAGATGCAAACTGAAGCAATTCCAACAAAGAAAACACATTTCAGTAGCAATGCCAACCACAAATTTTATTTGCATACCCCTGAAAAGGGGGAAAAATCAGAGATACGAAATTTTATCCAATTTCCCTATTTAAAAACTCATATTAAATGCCTTTCTAATACTTGAAAGGTGTTCATATTAATAATAATTATCGGTATTCGATGAGCACACAAGATAAGTATCGCTATCTCAAGTAAATAACAAGAACCTGTATTGTGATTATACATTAATTAATTTGGTTTTACGTGGTGGACTTGGAATTGAATTGGTCAGCTTAACAGTGATTTGTGCATAGGAATCAACTTTTTAGTGTCTCAATATTTATACACTCATATAGACATATGAACCACAAATGAAATAAATTAACAGCTAGACACACTATGTGTGTGTGTGGGGGGCCGACAAAGAATGGGCCCAATGCCCCACGGACTAATTGGGAATTAAGCAGATACAAATTGAAGACAAGCAAAGAGGACACGGCCTGGCTAAGACGACGACGACGACGACGACGAAAGTTGGCCCGGATCAAACGCACAAAAGCCGGATGTAATTAATTTTGTGCCAGAAAGTTCAACTAAGTGAAGACATGCTGCATCCGGTGATGACACCAAAGAAAAAACTACTCAATATATATTCTACGTATGTATGTATGTATGTATGTATGTATGTGCAACAATATTTGATTAAGTCCAAAAAGGAAGCCACGCAAATATGGCACAAGAACAGCAATTACGGGTCACGCGAGCTGTTGCCGCTGAGCTGCTGTTGAGCTGCCTGCTGAGGGCTCATAAAAAAAGGTGCTGGGCTCTGGACAGTGGGCCACTAAATAAACAGACAGAACTTGGCTAATGGCCGCTGACGCTGACGCCGACGCCACCGCCATCAACGTCCACTCACTCACTCACCCAGCCATCCAGCCATCCAGCCATCCACTTGGACGACTCTCAGCGTGGCCCAATTCCGTCAGACACTTGACGACTGATGGCAGCACGTAAGCAACGCTTCCGGCCAGCTCAGCTCGTGTGAAAGCCACAAAGTGAGCTCGTCTACAACTGCCAGGAAGCTGCTAACAAAATTCTCAGCTCGGCATTCACACGTCGCTTGAGTTTTAGCCTAGCCTCGCTGGATGAAGCGGAACAGGTGCCAAGAGGGAGACAGCTGCTGCTTAAATATGATTTCATTGCGTTGTCAACGATGGCTGCTGAAAAGGATTTACTTGAATCGAGACGTGCATTTAAAACAATCGCAACACTGATTGCCAATTGAGTGACACACAAAGAAAACAGAAAACACTTTGCTGATTTATGTGGTGCGTTTTTGTTACCATCAGCATTACATGTTAAAGTGTATTTACCGAGCAGATGGAGACGTCTCCGAAGCCAAATATAAATATATTTATATACATGTCTATCGAGCTGACATTTTGAATGTATATTTACATACGAATATCACTTGCAGAACAAGCTTACATCAGTTTTGAATAACTTATCCGGATGAAAAATGTATCCATAAATAAATACATTTCCAACTGCTTCCTACACTCAAAAAAAAAGAAATACTCTGAATTGTAGAAAGTCGAAATGATTTCATGGGTAACTCACCTTATTATTCAGAAAGCATATTTCTGAAAGAAAAGTTTGCCTCTTTCTAAACTCAAGGGTATAATTTTTTGAAACTTGGAGTGAATATATATCATTTCAAATGTATTTCATTTTATATCTACACAGAAGTGTAATAACGTAAATTGCTTTGGTCTTTGTATTATTAGTAAACATGTAAACATTAGTATTTTAAGATGTTTTGTATTTGCATATTTACTTTTCGCAAATATTTGTTCTCCTCGTCGCTGAAATGTATATGTTTCTGATGTTTACAAATATCAATTGCAGAACAAACTTACATCATTTGTGAATAATTTACTCGGTTGAAAAAAGTAGCCATATTTAATATACATATTTCCAGCTCTGTTTCCTAAACATGTCTTATTGATAAGAAGAGCATCAACTTGAGTATGTTTGAGTGTCCAACCTTGTAGTTATTGTGTGTGTGTTTGTATTAGGGCTACTTATAGGGTATCTCATTGTGCACTCTTCATATTCGAGTACTCTTAGTAGTTAGCCTTGACATTTTACACCCAACGTGCGACTGTTTTCGTGCTAATCAGCCTGAAACGTCGCCTCAATGCTGTGCCAAGTCCCTCGATGCTGAGGGATACAAATACCATTTGATTTGTGGGTTTGACATTTTGCAATTTGAGTTCTTTGCTGCATCAGCGCATAAATCAAAGACAGATAACCTTATAGCCCCAATAGCCCTGCTCTTTCTATCTGTGTCCCTCAGCTAGCAGCTGATTGATGATGCCATCGGTGATGGCTTAAAGCCCAGATTAAGTATACACCACTTGGCATTAAGCTGAGCAATTGTTACTTGTCCTTAAGCGTCCATTTCACTGCTCCATCTTTTTACAGGTACGACGACGCACCCAGGCGCAGCAGCAGCAGCAGCAACCGCTGCAGGACACACGCTCCTATTGCACCAGCGAGCCGCGCCTCAGTGAAACAGAGACGCCACCGCAGCGACGTAAGCTCTCCCAACGCCGGCCGCAGCCACACGGTAAGTACGTGAGTGTGTGCGGTCTGTGTGTGTGTGTGTGTGTAAGCTCCTTTTAATGAGGCACGGGACAATCAAATACTGTGGCACCAACAAATTAGCCAAAGTTAATGACAGCTTAAAATATTTGTTCAATTGAGCAGCAGGCAGCCCAATTAAAAGTTGACTATAATTATTATAACAGTCAAATGTCTTAGTGATGACAGACTATTTATAAAGATCAATCATTTAAAGCATTGAAGTCACTTTAAAAGGTTCTCTGTTCCATTATTGTCTTATATATCCATAGCAGCGATAATAGATATTGCTATAAAGTTGATTTAATTAAGGCTTTCACTCGGGTAAAACGTTGAAATTAACCATTGACCCACTTCCGATGCGCACAGAAATCCAAATAAAGCACAAAATGTACTTATAGTATGTACACCCCCTTCCACCCGCTCCCCGTAGGCGCACCCACATTTTGTGTAAATCTGTGCCAGGCAGCAGACAACAAAAACAAAAACCGCCTACAAAAGGGGTAAAATACAAAGAAAGAAAGAAGAAAAAAACTTAACAATTATGGGCAGTGAATAACCAGAAAGAGCTGTTAACTTTATTGAATTCCCGAATAATAAATACCCTAGCAGATAAAATAATAATTAAATTGTCCATTAGGCCAATTATCACACTATATATAGAATATAGAATCATACATGGCAATCAACCACCTATATTAACTAATTGAAAGAGCATTTAATCAGGTCTAGAAGCGATTTAATTGAATTTATGTGTATTTTTGTTATTCTTTCGTATCGCACCTAACTTTGAGGATATAAATATATTAATTCCACATTTTTCAAAGCTGTATACTCAGAAGTTTGCTTATGCTATCCGAAAATAATCACATTAATCACATTAATGGATAATTTGTGTATAAAACAGCACCATTTGCAACTAATGCCGGCATAAAAACTTTAATCAACATTGAATTTCATTCGACTTTAGCATTATAATTACAAAATGCTGACTCAGCTTTTAATTTCCAACAGGGTTTTTCAAACATTTTTTCCCCTGTTTTGTACTCCACATTTTGTAAAAAAAAAGGTTATATTCCACTCAGTAATGATATAAAAAAACTGCTTCGCAATCGTTGATTGTAATGCAATTGAATTGAGAGACATTAATTTAATTTCACGATTTTGCAGGGCATAGAAAATCGAACGCCTTTCTGGACGTGCCCACAATGAACATGCATCACCTGAGAGTGAACGATGACGACGAGGATGTGGATCGCCTGCGCACATTTAGTGCATCCAAAGGAGGTAAGTGACAAAGCCGGAAAAACACACGTAACACAAAAAGAGAGTGGGAGAGAAGGGAAGGAAAAGAGACGCAGTGTGGCATAAATAACAAGTACAAAAGGCTTCTTAGCCGCATTTATTAATTTTTAAATTGAAAACTAACCGAAGAGTCGACAGGACAAGATGTCAGGGATTAGCTTTTACAATGTGTGTCTGTGTCGCCACAGAAGGATTCTGAAGGAGTCGAGCAGCTGTGTCAGATCATTTGGCATGAAATTATTATTTTGCCACTGTCTGGAGAACTTATTGAAACCTTAAAAGGTTGCTGCTCCTTGCGCAAAAAGGATATCAGTGTCCTTTTGAGTGCCACTTAAGATAGGCATACAACACTTTATATATCAGCTCCAACTAAATGCCATTTATATATTTGTGTCACGTTATTGTTACACATACGCAACGTGGCACAAACGAAACCTAAACCCAAACGAAAACTTTAGCATGCCATTGTCTGAGTCTGTGTGAGCTGTGTGTGTGTGTGTGTGTGTGTGTGATTGTGGATGTATCTTTACATGCATAAATGCATGTAGACTTTAAGTACGTGTTTAAGCTCAATCAGCAGCACACTTGCACACACACACACACACACACACACACACACACACACACACACACACACACACACACACACACACACACACACACACATATTACTAGACTTGACACCAAGTTATTTATTTGCCCTAACAACAGGCATTAATAATTTACCAAGCAGCATGCAGCTTAAGTGTACCAATTTAAGAGTACTCAGTGATTTCATATTTAAATTATAGCTTCTGCTGTCTGTTAGGTGAGTAATATCATCTCTATTTTATTTCCTTAATTAGAGATGGAAGTTCAAAAATACTCTTTAACAGATTTAGAATATCCCATTGAATTAAACTACCTGAAAAACACTAAAAAATCATTTATTGGTTATTGAAAATAATTTCTTATTTTATAAACTAAATTATTTAAAGTAAAAATCACTTTACCTTAAACGATCATTGAACGAATTAGTTATTTATTATTTCCTTCATTTATTTAAACCATATCTAACTTCAAGTATATATATTTTCTGAGTATATATTTTTTGAGTTAAGTTTCTGCGTCATCCGCATTGCTAAATAATAGTTCCGACTATAATATCCGAACAACTCCAACTTTATGCAGCCGAACATGAGATCAATTTAAGTATATTGATGCAAACACATTTTCTTCTTATGGCAAATTGTTTGAAAGGGTATTCAGTTTACGTTAGCAGACTCAACTTGAGACTTTGTAACTGGCTGTGTCTGTCGTCTGCTCTTTACATGCTCACACAATTTGAGTTGAGTACGTTAAATTGTCAACCAACCCAGCCCAGCAAGGCACCACGAAGTGCAGACTTGCGGGGGACCTGATTCAAATGGTATATGAAACGAGCTGCATATTAAAATTCAATGAAATTCTAGCGTTTACTCAACTAGATTGCTTTCAAATACAAGTAAATGTCTGCATGTGCAAGTGGTTATCTCTCCATCTAGATGTGTACATATATATATATATATATATATATATTTGTGTGAAATCCTTGCGGTTATATTGGGTGCGTCATGTGCACAAATTTAATTAAACTTAATACGCAGTCGATTCAGGCACGAGTCGTCAGAAGCGTAACGCAAGCCAAATCCCATCAATTATGTTCACAGTTTGAATTTAAACAAAAATTGAAAAATTGTTGGTAAAAAACAAAAAAAAAAAACAAGGGAAAAGAGCTAAGAATATTTCAATCAAGTGTTAAAGTGTGCGAAAAGGGGGCAGAAAATTTGACAGGCAAAGTGATTAATTGAAACGCCGACGTATGTTGGTCATCAGCGTCAGCCAATGAAAAGTGAAATGAAAAGCTGGCCAAAAGCCGTCACAATGCGTTCCAGTGTGTGTGTGTGTGTGTGTGTGTGTGTGTGTGTGTGTGTGTGTATGTGATTGAAATGGAATATAAACTGGATGCAACAGTGTGCCTGGTTAAATTGAATTATAACCGAGTAATGTCCACGCACAATTCGTTCTCCGTTGACTATGGACAATAAAGAGGGTGTGTCTGTGTGTTTGGATGCCCGGCTGAGGGTGTGTGGGGTATGAGTGTGTGGGGGTCTGGTTTGGGGTGTGTGGCTGAATGTATATCCAAAACAGTCGGATGTGAGTTAGATCAGTTGCTGGCCTTGCAGCTGGCACAACTCAATTGGCTTTATCTCAGCAAATTCTATTTATAAAAACAATAATGAAAATAGACAGGTTTTTATTTTGCACATGTTCAGCTGTAGACAGAAAAAATGATTTTCTTTTCCAATCTCATTCGATTTATATACATTTTTATATTTCAAAAAATACACGCTCTTAATCTATTTTTTCCTTGTTGCATTATTTCGCACCTTAAATATTATCCGTGTGTCCATATATACTGTACAAAATATTGAATATTTTATTCATTTGATCTCCTTAAAGTTTATAAAGTTTAGCTAATAGTTACAAAATATAAAAATAGCACAAATGCCAGCATAGTTGAAATATTCTCAGCCACTTCAAATCCAAAAATACTTGAGCAAAAAAAAACATGTGCAAGATCTCGTGTAACACTCGGCAATCTTTAAATCAATCGACAAATAAAAGCAGAAATTTATTTTCTTAAACAGTTATTCATTATTAAAAAATTCGAAAAACAAGGTGAATTTGGCGATGCGAGAAAATCAAGAAATAGAAATTCAATGAGACATCAAAAAGCAAAGAAGCGTGTAAAACAAATGTTGTGTTCAAGGAGATAAGTTAAAAGAAAAGCCAATAAAATGGAAAGCGATGAATTCTTGAAAGGCTTTTTGTTTAGACTGCTTCGTTATTAGTTAAACAGAATTCACGTATTTTTAACTATATTTCCAAGATCATTTAGCTAAATGCTAAACATAAATTTGCCCATAAACTTGAATCATATCAGGCACAAACAACACTTGCCGATAGCCTGTGCGAAACGGGGCTAAAATTAAACATTCGGCACTTGTGCAAATATTTATTGTAATGAAGCAAAACAAAATAAAACAATACAACAAAGAAAGAAAAACATTGCTTCAAGTTTTAAATTATATTGCTGGCAGTTTTCACCTTTTGTTTCCAGGCAGCACACACAATTGAAGAAAATTGAAATTTGAATTATTGCAGCTCGCAATTGTGAATTTCTATTAAATGCCACCCAGCCAGGCATTTTTATTGCTTTCCAATGCCGATGGCCGTACACTGAACACCTCCTTCCCTATTTGGCCCTTCCTCTGCACTTTTAGATGTTTATAGCAATTTTTGCAATTAATTCAAATTACACAATTAATGACCGCAGCGAATTCAAAAATAACGTCAAACATCGACCAAAAATGCAATAAACCAGGCTATTAATTTATTTATGACTATTAAATGTAAACAAAATAAAAATCATGTAAACATTCAAATCGGGCATCTGCCAAATTTTTCTTCTTGCTTTTTTGGGTTAATCCCTTGGCTTAATTTCAATTCCAATGCAATTCAATGCATGTTTCGATAACTAAATTTAATGTTTTTGTTATTTATTTTGTTGCATTTGATATATTATTTAAATTCACGTTGCTGAACAAATGTTCTTTTAAGTCCTAAAATAATTGACGTGTTATGCATGCTCTTCACATCCAATATATTTATAGAGCATTTCTAACATAGGATTTGACATTTAATTTGTCTTGCACCAAAGCAATTGAGATAGAAAATTTGTATTTCGAATGCCTACCTCAATATGTTTGGGGCAAAATGTACAGATAAGGTTTAAAATAAATTTCAGCTAATGAATTTTTAAATTTAAAGCGTCAAACCAATCTTCCTGTCTGCCGTTGTTGGCAGCTGCACAAAAACCATTTCAACTAGACCACAAAAAGATACAAAACGACGGATTGTAAAATGGGCGGCATGTTTTCTATATTACAGCAGCAAACAGGGCGTTAAGAGGTGCAGAGGGTGAATTTTACACAAAAGACAGATTAAGCATTGTTTTGTAGCTTTTGTTTGTGAGCTGCATTTTGCTGCCTACGGCTGCCAACAGCAATTTTCGCCATGCACAACATGGCGTATGAGCAACACATGGTGAATGATTGCGCATACATTGCGTTAACCCATCACTACCTAAAACACGTAGTCCGCATTACATTTTAAATATGTATACACTGATTCACAAAATGAATATACATATATATATATACGATGAATTTAAGCTGCTAAACTACATCTTCTGGTATATGTATTAAAATGTTTTTGGTTTTTTTTTTTTCGAAACTTAAATCGAAACTTCATTATAAATAAATTGTATATTTTTGATATTTATGATATATATAAAATATACTCACAAAATTTTAAAATTTATTTTTGTTTACTTCACTAAAAGTAAAAGTTTCCTTACACTTCGATCTAAAATATCGGTCTGAATTCAGAATTTATAACTTTTTTATTCAGAAACGGGAAGTCGTGTCTTTATAAAATCAAGATTTTTCTCTTCCTTTCTTTGAAGTAGAAAATGTTTTTAGTTTTGAAACAGGTAACAGCTGAAGCGTTTTCTCTTCATCAAATAGAAAGTTTGCTCCTTAACGGCAATGTGTATTAGACAGTGAAAAGAGCATTATGCAATTGATTAGGTTTGACTGCAACATTGTCACTTTCATCATTGTTGCAATGCCTGATTTGGAGCATGCAACTGACGGTTAACTCCCTCTCTGTTTTGCAGGCATCATCAATCGCGGCGACTCGTTTCGCAGGCGTCGCTCGCGCAGCAGCAGCCTTGCACCGGTCAGTCCAATGCATCCGCGTAATGCGATGGCCGCATTAAATGGTGGCGGTGGCGGGGGCAGCAGTTTGGGCCTGGGCAGCAACTACAATGGCGGCGGCAGCACCAATGGCTTCGCCGAGAGCTCCGCCCAGGACAATCATCAGCCGGTGGAATTCTATCGCGTGGAGATGCTCGGCTCCCAGGGTGTGGGCAAACAGGCGCTAGTCTCACAGTTTCGCACCTCCGATTGCATCAATGCGTATGACGGGCCAGGTAAGTGCTATCTCTCTTTCTCTCCGTCTCTCTCTCTCCGATATACTTAAATAGAGTAATCACCTGACTCTTCATCCTGCAACAGAGTGCGACGAGGCTGAGCAGAATGTTTCAATTATTTTGAACGGCACCGAGTCGGAGCTAAAGTTTCTCACTGGCAATCCGGACAGCAAGGTAAAAAGAACAAATGGCCCATTTGTCAACGCAGCACAACAGTGTATACTCTGCGAAAATACTATATTCAAGAACATTTTAGCTTTTAACAATGTCTTCATCAAGATTAGGCACCCCCACAAACTATGAAAGAGATTCCAAAACCAAATACCAACTACTCGCTGGGTTTTCTCAGTGTACACATACCATTGGTAATTGTTGTGTGTACGGCAGGCAGCAAGTAAACAGCATATTTATTTGCTTCCTTGTGCGTAATTGTTGTTGAATATTTCAATATCAACTTGGAGGCTGTCCACACAAATGACCGCCACTAACAAGACAAATGATGAGATTTGCCACAGGGCCACAAAGCTTTAACTTGACCAAAAGCCATTTGCCATTTGGTTCGGGCCAACTGAATAAATTGCAAATGCAAACTAAGTGCAACTTACAGTGTACAAAGTAGGAAGTTGGTAATGAAGGAATGAGTGCGACAACAGTAATACAAAGTTTTTGGCCACTAATTAGGCCACGAAATTTTAACTTCACAAGAGCGAATTTCTGAATTAGTCAAAATTTTAAGGGCCGCTACCAACAATGGCTAAGAACATTACCAAAACACTGCACACCAAAGTTGCACAAAGAGTGGCAATAACGTAGTAAAGGTTGCCGCTATAAGTTTGGATGCTGTGGCATTCAACTCCCTTCTACGTTGCCTGCATACTTAAGTGCCGTTAATTACGAGAGGGAGTTTCTCCCTGCCGTGGCAGCTGGCTGCTGGCTGCTGGCTGCTGGTGGTTTCGTTATGCTATCTTCAGGTATTCTGGGTAAACTTGTCAGCTGCACGCAAAGGCTAAGTAGACACAGCATAAAATAATAAGTTTATATAATAACTCACTACAATATACCTGCACCAAGCTGTTGTGGAATATGAACTGAAGGAGAGAGACCAGAAGACCACTCTAAAGAGAACTAATCTGCAAAAGACTTTTCATTGAAAAGCGCAAAAGAAAAAGGAAAACTTACTACTAATATAGGGTGAATCATTATAAGTATACAAAGAAATTTGTATTCATTATAGAGTGAAGAAATTTTTTTTTTTATTGAAAAGTGAAGAAGAGTTGGGAACTGACTAAAAAGAATATTGTAGAAATCATTATAGGCATACAAAGGAAAAGGTATTCGTTTTTTAGATCAGAGTTGATCTGCTGGCATCTAATTTTCTGATCGAAGCTCGAAATATTTCTTAATAGTTTTTAACAAGACAAAATGTATGTTGAATTCGCAGCAAGACGTTAAGCAGGACATTTAAAAATTAAATGCACATAAAACGGTCAGAATATAATAATATTTCACAATATATCAGCAGATAATCTCCGGGAACAAGGGTATTTAATCTTCGGCGTGCCTAAAATAACTATTCTACCTTGTGGTTTTTTCTATTAGGTCATTTTAACAGAACTTAAAAGTTTGAAACACAGTTGAAGCAACTACTCAGAATAAGAGGTTTTTAGTTTTTATCTTAGGAAATCTGCTGTAGCCGGATGACTTTTTACAATGACTAAAATTGCAACTTGATTATTGCAGCCAAAAATACAACAGACTGCATTAAAAGTGTGCATATTACTTCTATTAAGAAATCTTTGAAAACCGACTAAACAAATTATATTTATGAAATTATTTTGTTAGTTCTTCTTTTCCTGATAGAAATAGGAGATGTTGAAATTGTGTAACCATAAAGTAGTCAAGTCTTGTAAACTGACCAGATCACTCAAAGTTTTTATGACTTGTGCAATGGACCGCAATATGCAATTATGAAATACATAGAAGAGTTTCTTCAGGCGGGTCTTTAGCGGGTGTGCGATTATTAAAAAAAAAAAAAAAAAACAGAAAGAAAACGAAAAAAATTTAGAAAACTAACAGACGCTAAGCAATTTTTGCAATAACTACAATACGAACAAGCATAGCGACGATAAACATGCAATCGAAATGCCAAATTGCTGGCCAACTGCCAAATGACCAGCAAGCTGTCTAAAGGGGCACCGGGCAAGCTATGACACTGTATTTGTTTGCTATATGGAAGCAGGGGGAGGGTCTCTGAAGGACGGCAGTGAAAATGTATCCTAAGGCAGCTGGGCGTAAAGGAGAACGGATTTGTAGGACGACGCGAGATGTTGGCGCAAACAATAATGGCGACGATTAAGGCGGCGACGACTGACTAGGGATGGAAGAGTGGGTGGTAGGGAGAGCTTGCAGCCTTGACAAACAAACGGAAATGGCAGCAATTTATACATTCGGGACACAAAGAAAGCGCAGCAACGCAAATCGTACAAAAGTGTCACGCTCAACCACAAGTTGAAAGTTGAAAGAACAAATAATAACCAGTGAAAATTGTTGGCTAAACTTTTTTAAGGTGAATGCACACGAGCGTGACCGTCAATCATAAACACCTTTGATACACACAATCGCACACACACACACACACTCGCACACACACACTCACACACACTCACACTCACACTCACACACACACACACACACACATATATACACACACACTCGCACACAGTGTTAGATACACTCGCAGGCATAATGTGCTGGGGCAATCGTAAATTCTTGCCAAAATGCCGGATGTGCCTGGCGTTGCTTTATGGTTGCCTTCAGCCAGCAGAGTAAAAAATAATAATAACGTGGCCAACACTGAAAAATGCAGAGTCACTTCCGACACACCCACATGCAACGCCTGTCTGAGCGCCTCAAAGCATATACAAGTTGTTGAACTGACTTTAATCTGGTATCAAATCAGAGTCTGTCACGACAATGTATGTGCAATGAAGCTACGTTAGACATGCTAGTTGGAATGAGAACAGTTATCGATAAGTTATCGATTATCTGCCATGATAATATATGTGAACTGCAGCTGACTTGGACATGTTAATTGGGAGCTGTGTAGTACTCGATAAGTTGTCGGAATGCTGCTGCATTTTTATTATCTTGTGATAGTTTAGCTAAAGTTTCCCATTGGGAAGTTGTAGTTACATATTACAGCACATATTCCATGTGCGGTTATCGATAAGCTATAAGTTATCGGATAAGCCATGACATTTTTATTTATATTGTGATAAACTGACTAACTTTATCATATATTGAGCTATCGCATTGCACTCTTAGTTTTATACTACTATAAATCTATATATCTATCTATCGCTAGGTATAAGTATTGAAATCCTTAAAGATTCACTTATAGCAAGAATGTTTTCCGTATTTCAGTTTTCAAATGCAGCACAGACAAACTCAGTAGTGAAAGTCAAGCACTTGGTTTTCCCAACTTGACTTTTCATTGCACTCAAGAGCCACAAGAAGCTGTCAAATGTACATAGAAGCAGTTAATTTTTACGCTATAAAAATCGAAAATGAACAGGATGTTGGAGTAACTTTAAAAGTTGCGCTAAACGCAGCAAGCCAACTTGTTTGATACAGAATCGGTATAAGGGTCACAGAAAGCAATACGGATGCAACTTTGTTGCATCGTTATTTTGCCAATGTAGCAATCATTTTCATTTTTATGGCCATTAAGAATAAGCACAAGAGGCACTGTGACAGGTGGCACTTATTGGCATTGCATACAGTTGGACAACTTTTAATTAATAGTATTTAAGCCATTTGAGAGTTTTCAAACTTGTTGAATCGATGTGAAACTTGTATTCAATGTATTTATTAACAGGAGGAACTGGAACAGGCGGATGCATTTCTGGTCGTCTATTCCTGCATAGACAAGGAGTCATTTACGCGAGCCAAACAAATCTTATCGCGCTTACAGGACATGGACCTGCTGCGCCATCGACCCACCATTCTAGTGGCCAACAAAATTGATTTGGCCAGATCACGCGCTGTCTCAGCGCAGGGTAATAACAAAAAAAAAAAAACACCAAAAAACTGCATTGCGTGACTTCTGACCATAATGTTGAAATCCAATTGCAGATGGCAAGTGCGTGGCGTGCACCTTTGGGGCCAAGTTCATTGAGGTATCCGTGGGCATTAACCATAACTGTGATGAACTGCTCGCCGGCACTTTGACCCAGATACGCCTGAAGAAGGATCACAATCTATTGCAGGTGGGTTGGCTGCTTTAATTGAGTGTGTGTGTTTCTTTTAGACTTGATGGTAGACCACAAACGTGCATAGATGTAACGAGCGTCCAGTTCCAGTTAGTTGATGTTGGTTGTTTGATGGGATTAACCTTCTTCATTCTTCTATGACATCATACATCTTGTTTGCCATCTCTGTCTCTCTCTCTCTATCTCTCTCTTTTTCTCTCTGTCTCTGTCTGTGAGCGCTTTTCATACTGTTTTTCATTTTTATATGTACCATTTTTTGTATGTAATCGCTTTCGCAGCTGAATCCGAAAAAGTCGAAAGACAAATCTAAATTTAAAGATAGCAAAGACAAGCACGTAGAGACTGTAGAAACTGATAAATGTCTGACATTGACTGATCTTAAGGCCGACGATGCGGTAGCGGTAAGTAATACAGTCTCAAAGCTAAAAATCAAAAAAAGTTATACTCCTCTGTATACCCTGTTTCTACCCACTGGTTATATTCGATGTACCCTTACTTGCATGCTGATTTAAAACAATCCATTTAATTATCTACAACTTTCCGATTTCCTGGTAAGATCATTTTTAACTGTTCCTTTTGGATGCTGAAATCATAAAAAATGTAAATTGTCTAAAAATAAAAGACTTTAATTAATAGACCAAACGGATTCTAAAATTATTATGTTTGATATCCCTTTCAAAGAAATTCAGGTTTTTATTTTTAGACAACAGTCAGAAATTTATTTAATCTACAAATTATTTATATGAACTTAACAAAATAAATTAAATTGGAAAAAGTGAAACAAAACTTCCTGTGCTTATTTTGAAATTAAAATCAGCTCTGAAATGAATAAATAAATCTTGAACTTTGAAGCAACTACTTTAATTATGCCCACTTGTTTACCAAGTCTTGAAACTTCTTTGATCTCTTGCCAAGGCACGCAGAAATGCATATTCCACATAGTGTACCCATTTTATAGGATTGCCAAAAGCGGAAATGTGTCAAGAGTACAAAAATTTATTCACAGTTTAGCACATGCGTTTGTTTGTTGCTATTTTCTATTATTTGTTATTCTCTGTCCATATTGTTGCTATTTTTACATGGTGTATACTAACCCAACAACCCCAACCCCCACCACCTGCCGCCCCATCGACATTGGCGAAAACTCAAGTCGTTTAACGAGCCACAATGTCTGTATATTATAAATGTATATAAAGTGCCACATCCTTGCTGCACATTGAGAAGACATCTTTTAAAATATGCAATCAATTTCAGGGTCCCAGGGACGGCAGCTCGCCGGCGCATTGGTACAAGAGTAGGAGCGTAATGCTGGCCAGCATGAAGGCGCGACAGATGCTCACATGGATACTGGGAAAGGAGGACTCTAAGTTCAAGCACTGTGAGAATCTGCAGGTGCTCTAAAGATGAACTGTATAAGCAAGCTCAAAAGCTCAACGGCAAATAAGTAAAACACCAAAATTCAAATAAACCTTAACAAAAAATGCCTAAAATTATACGAGTGTATGTAAGTAATCTATGCATAAAAAAATAATAAATAAATTAAATGTAATTGTAATTGTATTTGTAACTCGATGATCAAAATAGTATGTGAATATTTTCTAGAGCCGCAAAACAGAACCAACAAATTAAAATATAACCTTAAAACGTAAACAGGTTTCGATGTTTCGATAACCTATTATAAATCGATTGATCGCTAATCGTCTGTTTGTGTAAGCAGCAATGTCCAACAATTTGCATTATAAAAGCCTGATAATCAAAAATTAAATCAAATTTAATGAAAAAAAAAAAAACACAAAAACAATATTTAAGGGATCCAAGCAAATGCAACAAAACTATACTAAAATAACAAAAAACAAAAACAAAAAAAAATACATATTTAATTTGGTTACAAACTTTTCAAAGCCTTGAGCAAAAATAAACTAGCATAAACTGTCTAGCAGAGATTAAACTATTTACAAAATACGCAAGTTGCTCTTTATATGTATGAATAAAACAGAAAATTAAAGAGTTTTTTTTATAAGATTTATATGTATAGCTCAAAAAAAAGTGTAAACTCTGAACAAAAAAAAACCGTGAGAGATTTCATACGGGACTTGCGACTTAAGATATAATAAATCATGTTAGTTAGAGACTTAACTATATTTATGAATTGTCAGAAATATAGCTTACATCGTATTCTTTAAAAATAGTTTCCTTACAATTTGATTGAGAGAGTTTGTGTTTAAATTCTTTGTGTCTTCCGTTTTTTGTATATACTATATAATTCAAAATTGAAATCCATTGCAATGTAAGGAATTTGAGTGCCATCCACAGCGATAAGCACAATGTGGATAAGAGCACAAACAATAATATGTATGTATATTAAAATCTACCCATTTAGAATTGAATCTATGTATGTATGTGTGTGTATATAAGCTTAATCACGTGTGGATATTTTCAAAAAAAAAAAAACTACAGTTCTAGCATGAAATATGTATAAAAAACATTAATAAACTACGTATTTAAATGTTGAATAATCAAATCAAATGGCGTTTACATTCTGTTTTAAATATAAATTATTTCAATTGAAAACCTTATTGGCTAAGTTTTTTGGTATGAAAAGTGAAGTGAAGTAGAAACTGATGAGTTAAGTAAACTAAACTAAAGTAAACTAAAACTGACGTCGCTGTTGATTCTTCACCTGTCTGGAAACTTCAGCGCGATAGCGAAAGAGTGGCCGAAACAAATGAACTTCCGCTAACTCCAAATCATCAGCTGGCTCGTCATACTCCAACTGCTCCACAGCACGTCGCAATCTGCCCAATGTGCGCTCAAGTCTATACAGATTCTCAAACTGGTGCTGTTCCGACAATGGATACTCTATATTCAGTGCAGTCTCTGCACTCAGTCTTCGATTATGCTGCTCAGAACTTGTGTGGGGATAGGCGCAAATCAATTTCAAAGCAAAAATACACGCAAGTAATTGCCAAATTTGCTGTAGACAAATTTAAAATGCTATTAGAGTATACGTGATTCTTATTTAATTACCCACCTTATTTAACTGCATTGTGTTTTTGTATTTTTTTATTTGACAATAGGGTTTCTTTGTAATATATGTTAGCTGCTGAACTGCAAAATGATAAGTGTGACTCTAGAGGCAGGCCACATTGTTTTTATACAATGGGGAAATTGCTTTGCAGAGCTGCAGTTCGGTTCAATTAGCAACTTGTTTCGTTCTAATTGCTCATATTGTTTTTCACACGTGAAAACTATTGCAATTTTTTTTCTGGAATTAGCATGTGCTTAGTGTTTTCGTACAGTTGAAAAAGCAAAGTATTTTCAATGGTTGTTGAGGCTAGGGAAGCCGAGTCATGTGAACTACAATCGTATATTATCAATTTAAATTAGTGTCACAGCAAACTCAGCTGACTAATATTTATAGTTATTCGTTTTTCTTCTACCGGTTGTGTGTCCGCCTCGTAATTAGCGCATGATCCCATCTACTAGTGGGAACTTTTATTACCAAACTGTCAAATTAAACAAATTGTCAGGTGCAGGTGCTTATAATGCAATAAATCAATACAACTGATTAACTAAATATTTTGTTAAGAAGCCCGTTTCAATTTTTAATTTAAGCGCGAATGGGAAATATTACAAATATATCTGACTCCCTGGTAAATTGCAGTCGATTATCGATTAATATATTAACAGAAGCACAAAAGCCGTTATCTTTTTATCAGTCTGTTACCCCTTTTTTAGTTGATTTAAATTTATGTTATTTCTGATATGGCTACAATTTTGTGTAAACTTAAAAAGTTCTATCCGCCAATATCCTGGGGAATGAATTTAATAATAAAACTTTAAATATAGATTTTACTCCTCACCGATAGCTATGTTACGAAAGAACAGTTAGCTATCGTTATCGATGCTAACAGCTGAGCGGAACTGGTATGAACCATGCCATTTTGAGTTTAACAGCACACTCAACTGGCGACTCCGCTGTTCGTTCACTCAGTATTGTTAGTCGTTCGGTTCAGCAAATCACGAGCGATACGATTCAGCTATAAATGTGTTACGATCTTTTGTTTATTTACTTAGTTTTTGTTTAACGGTACGGTAAATAATAAAGTGGTAATTGATTCAAAAAGTCAGTTTGCAAGCGTTGCGCTAGAGACGCTGACACTTTGCCCACATAATATGCAAAAAGACTAACCGCAGCAGGCAAACGTCAAGCTAACAATAAACAAAGGCTTTACTATCATAAAACAAACAGCAACTTTGCAGTTTGCGAATTCTCAACAAAAATTGTATATAACAATTTGCGATATCGAATATCGCCGCCGGTGATGATTCAGTTATTTTGGACATTTTGACTTGCCGTGAAACTCGAGTGACAACAGATGTTTGTTTGTGTATAGAGTGTGTATATATATGTGTGTGCGTGTATGTGTGTGCGTGTATGTGTGTGTGTGTGTGTAAAAACTTGCATATGTGTCCGCTAAAATAAGTGAGATAAAGGCGAAGTAGAAGATAGCCAAACACTGCAGAGAGTATCTTTCGTCTTTGCCGCATCAGCAATACAGTCATCGCTACCTGTTGATGTACACGTATCATTCGTCACCTGCTTTCGGTTCGGTTCGTGATCTTTTTTCCAGCGCAACATCGGAATTAGGTATTGAATAGGTAGCTATACGAGCGGAACGCTGATTTACAGTTATTAACGTGCCTGTGCCAGTAGATGAGACCGCCAGCTTCAAGAACGCGCAAAATGAGTAACAATTACAACGATATACCCATCGGCATACGTGTCCTGCAGAGCCTCTCGCGACAATGTCCTCGTTTCCACGCACGGAAGGAGCTGTGGTAAGAACATTATCTCTCTATCTCCCTCCTTTTAAGCAGCAACAATAGCAGTAAAATACTGTATTTTAGATATAACATTTTCAAATACCCTTTAATCTAGTCTTTGAAATCCACTTAAACCTACAAAATTATTAAATTTAGACGTGCTCCAATTTACGCAAAACTGGTCTGTTTCCGTTTATAACAGATATCTTCCGTTTCCGCATTTGCTTTCACGCCTGATAAAAAACAATAATTGTTTCATTTTTGTATGGCAAAACAGAACTCGCTGAAAGATAAATTTGTATTTCTAAATTTTAATCAAAATTAGTAGAAAAAAAATAGTATTTACTATTTTTACGTAATTGTTAATACTTTATTTTATGAAATCCATTTACATAAATATTTAATATTTATTAAGTTTAAATTTAATATTATATTTGATTTTTAATATATTTTAATCTATTTTCTCCTTTTTGTATTTTCTATTGTGTCAAATGGCATTAAATAAATAATTAAATGATGCATTTACCTTCATTTGCAGCTTCAAAATGTCGATATTTCTGCTGACATTCCTCGCCTACGCCTGCTATCACATGTCGCGCAAACCAATCTCTGTGGTCAAATCCGTGCTGCACGGCAATTGCTCAAATACGCTTGGAATACAGCACACAGCCGGCGATTGCGGTTATGCGCCGTTTGGTAAGTTGATTTCGTTGGTTTGTATGGAGTACTGGAGTATTGGAGTATGCAATGTTTGTGATTAACTAACAAAAGATAATTTGTTATTACAGATGGCCCCGATTCAAAGACGCTGTTCGGCATGCTGGACTCGGCGTTTCTCTTCTCCTATGCGATAGCCATGTTTATATCTGGATTTATAGCAGAGCGCGTCTCGCTGCGCTACTTCCTCTCGCTTGGCATGATAATGACGGGCGTGTTTACCTATCTATTTGGCCTGGCCCGCACCTCCAATATACACAGCCTCTGGTATTTCATATTGGTGCAAGTGTTTGCCGGCATATTCCAGACCACAGGCTGGCCGGGCGTCGTCACGTTGGTGGGTCGCTGGTTTGGCAAGGAAAAGCGCGGTCTAATCTTTGGCATCTGGAATAGTCATACGTCAATTGGCAACATTCTGGGCACTCTAATAGCGGCGCACTATGTGGAAAGCGATTGGGCTCTTTCGTTTGTGGTGCCTGGCATTATAATTGGCGCTGTGGGATTTCTGCTCTTTCTGTTTCTCGTCGATCAGCCCGAGATTGTGGGTTGTTATCCGCAGCATGCCGCACAGGAGCGTCGCGTGGCCAATGAATCCGATGCGGAAAACGGTGATGATGATGATGAGGAACAGGCGCGCCACAGCGAAGCCGTGAGTATTTCTACTCATTTACCCAATCCAGTTTTGCATTTTTGATTTCTTCAACTAAATTAAACACACAATACTCATTCAAACCAAAATTTGGCGTATGCTCGCGCAGTTTTTTAGCCATTCCGGTTATGCTGAATATCAAACCGTAAGTGCATGCATCCAGCAAATTGCTTTTTCCCGTGTGTTATACGCTCTCCTCTCTCTTTCTCTCTCTCTCTATTTGTGTTGTGTGGTATCCTAGACAGTTCTCTTTTCTACAAATATTAATATATATGTATATCCATTTAATATTGACCTAGTTACTTATATTAATTGTATATTTCTAACTGCAGGATCAAGTCAGCTATAGACCCTTGCCCACTGAGCGCACCCCCATCCTGACACGTCAAGCGTCCAGGGAACGTCATGCGGCTGGGCGACCCATCAGCCTGGCCGATGCCCTCCATATACCCGGAGTTGTGGAGTTCTCGCTCTGCCTGTTCTTCACAAAACTGGTCAGCTATACGTTCATGTACTGGCTGCCCCTCTACATACAGTCATCCAGTGAGTGAAGCCGTCATTTTAGTGTCGCAATTGTGAATGGATTCAGATTTCATTTATTTAATCTGTCTGTCCAGCTAGCTATACGCCCCATTGTCTGCTTGCGGTCAATGGAGTGTAGCTGATAAATATTAAAGAGAAAATTGCTTAAAGATAAACCAACAAAGATTTTGTTTTAACTGAGAAACATTCTAAGTTGCGAGCAATGACTATATTTGATAACTAACATATTTTATCTTTTATAAATGTAATTCATAATTTTATAGGCACATTGGGACCAACGCTGTCCGCTGATCTCTCCATACTATTCGATGTTGGTGGCATTTTGGGCGCCATTGCCGCTGGCTATATATCGGATCTAACTGGCATGTCGGCCACTGTCTGTACAGTTATGTTATTCTTCGCTTCGCCCATTGTAAGTGTTCAAATTGTATGTCTCTATATATGATAATTGATTGTTATAATACCTATTTACAGCTGTTAATGTATCAACAATATGGAGCATTGTCGGTGTCAATTAGCATACTGCTGCTCATCATTGTGGGCATCTTTGTGAATGGACCGTATGCGCTAATAACGACCTCAGTGAGCGCGGAGCTGGGTCAGCACAGCTCGTTGGAGGGCAATTCAAATGCGCTGGCCACTGTTACTGCCATCATCGATGGCACCGGGTCCATAGGGGCTGCTGTGGGTCCGCTGCTGGCTGGTTTCATCTCCAGCCACAGTTGGCAGGATGTCTTCTATATGCTGATCGTGGCCGACATTATTGCGATGGTGCTGCTCATGCGTCTGGTGATTAAGGAATGCGCCACGTTGCGTCGCTCAACGACCCGCATTCGCATCGAATAGCAGCAAGCAGTTTGATTTGCTTTTATCTGAATGTAATATTACATGTACATAGCGCATTATAATACACACTCACACATCGCACATCCGTATGAGTGTGTATTATTCGCATTAACTATTTGAATGTTACTGTAATTCTATGTGTGTGAGACCATATCACTTGTTTTAAACTAAACAATTAGTTTTATCTGGTTTTTATAGCTATAAATACTTAACATGTACCGCACTAGATGACCAAATCGATACCATACATCTATTTTATATGCCGTTGTGTGTGTACATTAGAGTCTCCTCGTTTTAAGTGCCGAAACCCAATATAGTCTAGAATTATTATAGCACACATTTACACTGCTATGTAAATACAATTTTCGTACACTTTTCGTACCAATAAAATAAAACAATGACGCATTCAAAGTGGGTTGTTTGAACAAAAACCCAGCTAAGTCTTTTTCTCAAAATTCTATTTATTAATATGTTTAATTTCGATTCGAAGGAATATTACTCTTGCTTAACTTGCTTAACATAAGCCTCGTGAGTGCGCTTAATGAGAGACTAATTCTATACGTATTTTTTATAACTAGATTCCACCTTTTTAAAATGACGCTAAAATGGTCACAAGTATCAAAAACTTAGTTTGCCACACGACATGGATTGGATCAAATGTAAGTCAGACAACCACAATAATAGTATTATAAGCTCTACAGACGCTGCACACAGCGCCGCACAATCTTCGCCTTGTGCTGGCAGAGCAGCCGTAGCAAGAAGATGATGAGCAGCAGACTGACACCGTAGCCCACATAGAGCACGGCACGTTTGCGACGCCGCCAACGCTGGTAGTCGCTCCAGGACACATAACGATTGCGAAACTGTGGCGGCAATTCGAATTTGCTGCGACGCGGAAAGAACGACAAGTAGAAATCCTCGAGCAGATGGCGCACCAGCTCATTATCCTCGCCCCGCTTCGCATCCAGATTATCGTTGATGCAATTGAATTTGCGCGGATTGCGACGCATGCGATCCAACGCTTCCACCACCTCCGTCAGATTCGAGGTGAGCATCATGAAATTGCTGTGCGATGCCCGCTTCGGACTCACATGATAGCGATACTTGGGCCGCGCACCAAAATTGGCAGTCAAAGCCTCTGCGAGCAGAGGACAGCGATAGACGAGCTCTCGTGAGATTGTTGGCTAGAAAGGGAATTTCACAAATGAAAAGAGCTTAACTTTGGATTCCCAGGGGGTTTACATACCAAATTGGAGTCCTCGTAGCGTTCGTAGACAAGCGTGGAGTGCACAATTTTATTGACGCTCTCGTCGTGGTCGAGGTCACGTGTACAATTCTGGACGACTTCCTCAAAGTAACGCATCGCCGACCAGTCCAGCGGCGGTGGATAGATGCGTGTGAGGCAGGTGCGCACCTCGCGATCCGACCAGGTTCCGGACCCATCCGTATCGAATTCATCGAAGATCTGCTCCACGCCCAATTGCTGAGTTTCGCTCATCAGAAAGGAGTAGTAGGCAAAGGCGAATTGCAGATCGGTGGAGGAGCGGAAACGTTGGTGGGCCGTCTGCAGCACCTGTTGCTGGAAGCGCTCCTGCATCGCGGCCACAATGTCTCGCTGGATGAGGAAGCCCACATGGGCTAGCACATGACGCGCCTTGAAGCCATAGACGCGATTCAGCAGCATATTGGTGGCAATTAGCGAATGCGAGTAAATGTCTGTGGAGGATTTAAAGTCCTCCTTGTGCAAAAGCTGCTGGCTGGATCGGGTGCTGCTAAGCAATGCGCTGCTGGCGTCCAGCTCGGGATTCAGTGATTTCAATTTGTCCTTGTTGAAACGCTCCACAATGCGTCGCAACTCAAGCAGAGTGGAGACATTTTTGTGCCGCATCAGATCCTTGAAATTGCTGGAGCTACTCTTGAACAACTTGCGCAATCCCATATTGGGAAACTTATGAACGGCCCCGCGACCCACTGGAAAAGGAGGAGGCGGCGCTGGTTGCTCGGCTACCTCATGCAGCTCGTCGTGGAGAAAATCAGCTGTGCCGGCTTCGCTGCAATCGCCGCCATCGAACTGGCAGGCATCGATGTTGCAGTGACGATCACAGGCACCATCGCCTATATACGTCCATGGGCAGTCGAGGGCGCAGTCTGGCACCATCCACGCCTGATAGACGCGCACACCCTCCGCCTCCGTATACAGATCCTCCGGATAGAGCGGCGCACCCAGAAATATATCATCATTCAGATAGAGGAATCGCTTGGATAGCTTTGGTATGCGATGCAGAAATGTCTCAATCGCTGCACTCGAAAACGTCGGCAGCTGTTGGGCATCTGGTGCGAGGAGCTCGTGCGGCACAACCGTCACCCGTTCGTAGTTGAGATCCAGCCAGCTGGGCAACTGGCCATTTGTCACGATATACACGTGTCGTATCCAGTTGGCATGCTTCTCTAGCGAGCGCAGCGAGTACTTCAGCTCATTCTTGTCGTCGAAGCGGGATGGATCATAGCTTGGATCGTAGCGTCGAATGGACTCGATGAAATCCGGATCGGAGCCATTGACCCACGTGTAGACCGCATCGATTGGAGCACAGCGAGTGTCCCCATGGAAGTGCTGGTCATCTGTCGTCGCAGCCAGCAGTTGCTGCCCGCCCAGCCAGATAATCACACAGAGCGCTCCAAAGACCGCAAAAATGGCAAATTTGCGACGCGACTGCATCTTGAGCCGATAGATTTTCTCAATTGTACGCCGCATCCGCCGATGCCAGCGGCGTCGCAGACGCATTTCGTATTCTTTTATAGTTCTACATTTCCACACTTTTCGTGCATTGTAATAATTATACACACTAACGGCTTAAACTTACTAATAACAGAAGAAGATTTATTTTAAGTTGACCAATAATTAGTGACGGTATGATCCACATGTGATAAGATGTTTCCACGATATCGATATGCATCTTTCGATTGCAATCCTTGCGCACAGATTAAATCACAGTAACAAATTTCTTAATACATGTATTATGTATTGTATACTTTGTAATTAATCGTATAATTAACACTTTAATTTTAATCTATCAAATTAACGCCGAAACTTGTTTCGCTATCATTAATTTTATATCGATAGTATAGCCGTTGCATAGTGTGACCGCTTAAGTAATTTAAAATTCGCTGTGACTGGCTGGCTCGATATCGACTAGTCAAACTCGCTATCGGTCAGCTGGTCGGCCATCACATGACATGTCATATGAAAACTTTTTCACTCTGACAGCGCAAATCGACATCGGGCCGTGCAAATCGAAAACTTTTTACACATTTTTCGTTTGTAGTTTTTGTTAATTTTTGGTTGGTTCAACTCAATACTTGTGTTCAATTATGTTCAATTGTTGATTTTACTTTCATTTCGTTTTTATTTGATCAACGCAGTGCGTCCACGAAGCGATCAGAGCAACAAAATGTTGTGGAAATCGCTGATTGCGTTGTGCGTCATTGGAGTCGCCTTGGCCGAGCAGACGCCCGTTTTTCTATGGGGCGCCAACAGGTGGGTCTCTTTTTCCTTTTACGTACAACAAGTTGCAACCTAATAACGCGTGTACCACCCCCCATTAGCCCCCAGAAGCCGTCGCTGCTCACAGTGAAGCAAGCGGAGTTTCAACAACATCTGGCGACTTTGCTCAAAGATCACATGGTTGTGGCCTTCGAGGAAAATGGCGTAAGTACGATAAACCAATAGTACAAAATACAGTGATCACTCGTAACAGATTTCAATCCAATCATAGGCAAATAATTCAAATGATGCAAAAAATGCCAAGTTGCTAATCAACTATTGTTATTCTTTCTCCAGCTAAGCAACAAGGATTTCTTGTGTTCAAATAACGAGGCGCAGTCGTGTTACGCCCAGTTGCAATCCGTTAGCCCCAAAACCTACTTCACCAGCGTTGAGAACCCCACCGAGGCGCTGCGTGCGGCGGCCCAGAAGCGTGAACACAACAGCGTCGATGCCACCGGGCAGTTGGTGAATCCCGTCAAATGTGAAGCGGGCACGGCACTCTTTGTCTCCTTTGAAGAGGCGGAGGCCGAGACACGTGCTGACACTCTGAAGTCACATGGTAAGCAATGAGTAACTATTATAAATTGACTGAAAATGCAGTTCTGATGCTTTGACAGAGGAGATATTTCACTCATCCGTTTGTCTGTCCGTCATGGAGATTCTTTCCCAGAATACTTGGGAATTTGATATGTGGTCAGTAAGTTTGGGATTTTTAATAGCTCCTTCAGTTTCTATAAATGCAAATTTCTCGGTGATACTTTTTGTGGATATATCGGAAATGCTTCAAATGCTTATCCACAACTTCGCCGCTTGCTCACAAATATGTAAACACAAACAGAACAATTTTTTTTCCCTATGAATAAGTAATATGTATGCCTCTATATACATATTATTTATATAACTTCGGACAATGTTGAGCTAGTCGGACACTATCGACTTGAGCACTTTTGACCTGTATTTTTAATAATTTGATAAAAATGTATCTTTTATAATAGATTCGGCTATTGCTGCTGTTAGCAAGCAGTTGGACTGCAAGGTGGCTTATCTGTATATGGCTGCGCCAACTACTGCGCCCACTGTACAGCGTCGCGTGCGTCGCTGGACTGCATCGGAGATGACAGGCTACAGATTCGTCTCGGGCAATCAGTTTCAGATTACTTTCACGGAGGTTAAGTACAATGGTGTCAAGGTTGAGGTCACTGGTATCTCCATCAGTAATAGCTCCAACATCAAGTTCAGCGTCAGCCTGGCCACTAAAGACAGTAAGGCAATCACCTTCGATATTAGCTTGGGCACCTACGATGGTTACTATACGCTAAGCAATGCTGCATATGGCGGTCAGGCTCTCCGCACACCTGGCGTAAATGCACCGACTACATTCTCCTATGCCTGCGGCAATGCGACCTGGTCTTCGAAACCTACCGCCACCAATATGGTCGACAAGCTGACGTTCAGCTCGTTGCAGCTGCAGGCACCATTCAGTGCGCAAACAGCGGACAACTTTATCTTTGGTGATTCGTGGGATTGTGTTGGCTTCGTTACGCCTGGCATTCTAATGGGTCTGTTTGTCGTTGTCATTCTGCTGGTTATCGTCTTCCTGGGCCTGTGCTGGATGATGGATATAAAGACAATGGACCGCTTTGACGATCCTAAGGGCAAGACAATTACGATCAATGCCAGCGTTGAATAAGCAGTCACATTAGGCATTGCATTAAATCACTGTTTTCTGTTTAAATTTCAGCATCGGCTAATGCACATTATTTCAATATTCATTCCTACCGTCAGCCTATACATAATATTGTAATCAACACAAAAATACTTACGAAAATAATGTTAACTACTAAAAGAAAACAAAAAAAAAAAAATGCTGGAAATTAGCGCTCACAATTTATAAGTCATACTATGAACAATTTAAGCCCACAAAGGTGAAGTGCAGTGCGGGGCGGCGTTCATGTTCAGCATCAAATTCTTACCACCACTCAACACACGTGAATCCGTCCCCGCCCCCTCACTCACCTTTGTAGCCGTTAAATTGATTAATAATTTTAATTTTCTTTTTTCGCATTTTTTTTTTTTGCTTGAAACGACTTTTTTAGCTGGTCTGCCACTGCATTATGTAATCTTGGATGCAGTATTTTGTTTAAGTTAAAGTTGTAAATTGAAGGTATGCACAAACAACTACATATTAAAGACACAGTGAAAATTGTTGAGCATTGTGTATGTGTGTGTGTGTAAGTTTTGTGTGTAGATGTGTGTGTGATTGAATGTGTTTATATGCAAATATTTAATTCTAAGTGTTTTTTATTTGTCAGTATGCGAAAATATAATTTATGCCCTTGTATGATAATATATCATTTATGTACAACAACCCACTGTATTCGAAATGTATGTTCGAAACTCAAACTCCCCAATAAAGTTTTTCAATTGTTTTACAAACATACCAACAACAATAATAACAACACCATCGTAACGACTTAATTGAATTTCCACTCTTGCCAGCATGCCCAAAAACTCATAAATACAAATCAAAAGTTTTATGAAAATTTATTGAGTTGCCACTTGCCGCATACCACATACATGGCTGCTACGGCTCCCTCTGCATCACGTAAGGATTAAAGATATAAATGGCATGTACTATATAGCAATATATATTCATATATATATATATATATATATATATATATATATATATATATATTGGTGCTTTGATTGTTTGCAAAAACTTTCAACTCCAAAATAGTTTTACGAAACACTTTACGCTTGGCTTCTTCTCCGTGGAGCGTTTCATTTATTTTGGACCTGCAGCCTTTCATTAAGTTGTTTAGCAGGATGCTCCAAAAGCATTGTTTATGACATTTTAATCTCTTGTTTATCCGCTTGACTTTACGCCCAGTGTCAGCAAAGTGGCCGCCCACTCACCGGTCAAGGCTTCGGTTTGCCTTGAATTGCCGGCAGACAATGACAGACTGCAGGATGCCCTAATATCCCTAGAAAGCAATACTATTAAGTTATAGGGAAATTATCCTTAAGAATTGTTTTCTGTATTTGTAAATAAGTCCAAAAGGCCACTTCAAGCTTAAAACAACAAGCAGTTGGCTTAACTTCAAAATTAAAACTGTTAACAAATTATATAAACTGCAAATCAGGGCTATAGACACTAAAATATTGAGGTTTTATGTCAGAGCTGTTGTTAAGCGCTTTTTCATTCATATGGTAAACTTAACAGTAATGCGCTAGACTGGTAAATATTTAATCTTCAATCCCCATGAAAGTAACATATTCTGTCAAGTGTGGTTATAGTATGGCCATATCGCATAGAACGTCTGTTTGCCGCATATATGAATTTGCATAATGTTTGCATACCCCACATGTGCTGGGTATTTGGAGCTCAGCGTCTGTGCAACGGAAGCTTAAAAGTATGCTGCAACTGCGTCAGTTCACTTCGTGCCTGTCCTGAGTGCACCGAGCGACTGCCGCTTAGCCATAGTTTTTTTTTTTTCCTTTTGTTTGTTGCAGTTGAAATAGGTCAGTGCGTCATGCACACCAAATGAGCATATGAAACCCGCACGCGTCACCCTCTCCTCTTGTGACATGCTGGGATATGGCTTGGTTAGTTGGCTGGATAGCAAAAACAACTTGTGCGAGGAACTTGCGACACCCAAACAAAAGTTCAGTTGGGGCACTCCTTCAGTTTCAGCTGCCGGATGCTTGGGCTATGAAAAACAGTAATTATGCATAAGTCAACACGCGGCGCAGCATCGCGGCATTCGTAATGAACTCCACTCAAAGCCAAACGAGCACTCTGCCCTCCCAGCACGCAGCTGCCCCAAAATCCAGTTGCTTCATTACGCGCCAAGTTCAAAAGTTTTTGGTTGCCGAAAACGTCACCAACTGCAAAATCGCCAGCAAATACAAAGAAAAAAAAAAATAAAATAGGAAAACTTGCTACGAAGTTTTGCCACCAGCCAAAGAGAAGCCAACTGGCAAACTATGTAAGTATGTAGATATAAATATATATATATATGTATATATATATATATATATATACCTATGTAGACAGTGGCCGCTCCGAAATTAGAACTTCTCGAAATTAGAGTCGTCATTGTCTATGCATTAGTTTTACATTTACATAATTTCATTTCAAATTCTGATTTATTTATTCAGCATTTAAGGCTAAAGTTTTGATATTTTGCATATATAAAGTCTTAAATATCCGCGTCTAAATCAGTTTAAAATTGTATAATTAAGGCGCTCAACGGTTGACGGTCAAATCCAGTAAACATATTTATAAATGTTTTCATTTATTAAACCAAAATATTTACTATAGTTTTAAATGTGGTCTGCTTTATAATAGAAATAAAGGCTATATAAGCAAGGTTTTAATTAGCGAGTGTGCACTGTTTGAATGCGTCGCATAAGTAACCAGCATAACAGTTGAAGCAGCTTGCCACAAATGACCTGCTGTGCCGCAGCCACAGGCTGGTAATAAGCACAGCGTGGCAACAAATTGCAGCATTAGAAATGCGAACTCTGAGCAGGGATGAGGAGGACAGAAGGAGGACTGCGAACTAAAAGTCAACAGTTCGGAACATGTGTTTTATGCGACTGGCGCTTAATGCACCTAAATGCAGTTTCCCAAAAAAAAAAAACTTTTTGCGAGCTGCAAATTGTCATTAAGTTGACCACATGCCCGACTTGCTGTCAAGGGGTGGATTGGACGGGGATTCAAAGGCAAATCATTAGCACTGCCAAAGCTAAAGTTAAACAGTGAAATCGCCGGCAGGCAGCTTCAGTTAATGATGGCATTTGTGTGCAGCAGGCGCCTCGCAACTCTCTCCCTCTATCTCTCTTCTTCTCTCTTTCTTTTTCTCTCTCGCTCTCTCTCTCTCTCTCTGTTATTCTATCTCTGTTATAGCGTAATCCTGATTGTGGCTGCACTCCAGGCCCCACTGCATGGCAGACCACTCAGCTGAGAGCTGCGCTGCTTATCTGCGCTAAGTGGTTGTGGCCGACTTTGGATGCGCGCCATATTTAACTAATATACACAGATACAGATAGAGTTCGAGTGCAAGTTCGAGTGGGCGTGGTTGTGGGCGTGGCAGTGGCCTAATGAAGTCATTTGTGCTTAGGACTAAGCCTAAGTCCGCTTCCTGTGTGGATTGAAATGTTTGCAGCGTGGAGGAAAAATGATTCACATTATAGAAAAAAATTATTTAAAAAAAAACAGGAGAGAAGAGATCGAATATTTTACAGACGCCGAAGGTCAGTTACCCTTCTATTTCGGAGCTAATGTGCCGAATTTGTTTGTTATTTTATCATATTTTTATATATTTTATTTCCTTCAATGGATATATATCCAGCTTCATTAAGATTGCTTTTAAGCTGAAATCGCTTTGTGAAGCTGATCAGTTTTATATATACATTATGGGTGCGAAGTCGTGTCACGTTGAAAGTGGAAACCAAATTAAAATACCCCCTAAAAGGGTATAAGAATGTTACTATATGGTTGAGTTCCTAAATTGATTAGTTAAATTTAATTAAAATTAAATTTGCAGCTAAAGTAAAGTTCAATTGTACCTTTTTTTATTTTTTTTCAACCTGACCATTTTTATTTTTTCCAAAAGAGATTTCATCAATTTGAAATTCAATATTTGTTGGTCATGTGTTATTGAATGTATTCTAAGTATTCTGCAAATAGTATTAAAGTCTGGCAATAGTAATATTTCTGATATTAAATTGCTTGCTATTCCAAGTACTCATTTAAAATTGCTTTTTGCCAGCGTGAGAGAAATGTGAAATGGGCTCTTCTGGTTGACTTGTAATTTTTGCCTATCTTATTTATTTTTTTTGCAAAATTTGGCTTTATCAGATTTTCAAAATGTAGTACACACTACGGTCAAAAAGTTGCCAAACCCTGCTCAAAGTGCGGCCCAAACCACTAAGCCAAAGGGCAAGTCCGAGTCGTTTACTCTCTCTCTCTCTCTCTCTCGCTCTATCGCTGCTCTATCTACATGCACATTGGTCAGCTCAGGCGGACATAAATTAATTAGTTGTCATTTTTAACAATTGAGCGTGACAAGGCACACAAGGCTCTGGATATGGTGTCCTGGCAACAGAGAGTTGTGCAGCAGAAGCAGCAGCAGAGTCTGACAAATGATGTTGGCGCTGTGTGACGTGTGACAGATAAGTGCCGAAAAAGGTTTACAACTTTTGCCAAATGCCATTTATTATTGATGCTGTTCTGCTCCCTTTTCACCTCATCCTCTTCCTGCTTCTCCTTTTTTACTTGGCCTCCAGCTAAATGTGTACAAATGAATGTTGTGTCAAAGTTACCGACAATTAGTCGGATTGCGTATACGATACAGCGTCCCAACTGAAATCAGTCCGCCTTCCACGCACCTCATCTTCACTCTCACGGGTATCAAATGCCGCGAGATTCGCTAATCTTTGTACACTGGATTGGATCGGTTCTAAATGCTTAAAACTCGAACCCAAATGCAAAAAACTACAAAATCACGTGTAAAATACGTGAACATTTTCCACAGACATAGCTTTAACCAAATTGATCAGATTTTCAACTGCAAGTCCTTTTTTGTCATCGTTTGACATTCGAACTTAAAGACTGAATTTTTAAGTGTATTTATCTAATGACAACCTTTGATGTGCTTTATGATTTCCATAAAGGCAGTTAAGCATTTCACCATTGCATTCAGCATTGAATACGAGTAATTCTGAACAAGGATTTGCACAATTACTTGCATTTACGTAGGTTGCCGGGCAACAGCTAAGCAAATTAAAAGCTCTTGGTAATGGGAAAACAAAGCCCAGGATTAGTGGGTGAACTAAGCCAAGGCGTTGAATGGCCAGCGGCAACGAGAGTCAATTAGTTAAGAGGCTTGAAAGTGACTTTACAACAGCATAATAAGCTCGAAGTAATGTGGAGTTGCATATGAAAGGCTGTCAACGCCAGAGCTGCGGGCCAAATAAGTGTAAATGCCAAGAATGGCTTTCTTGCATAGCTAATTGAAAGTCTGTGAGGGAGAGAGAGAGAGAGAGAGAGAGAGAGAGAGAGAGATAGAGTGGTAAGAGTAAGAGAGTCTGTTAAGCTGGCAAAGTATTTGATGTGGCATATTTGCCATTGAGTGCATTAAGCTAAAACCCGAAATTTATGGCAAGTTTGAGTAGACGAAAAACCAAAAAAACCAAAAAAGCGAAAATAGCAAGCCAAAAGCCGATTAGCCGCTAAGCATGTATGACAAGACAAGTGTGAAGTGTAAGAACAAGCGAGGGAGAGAGATAGAGACACAGATAGTTAGAAAGAGAGAGAGAGAGAGTGGAGCAAACATTGTGAAGCCAAATGTGCAAATAAATCGCCTTGCTTTGGCTAAATAGAGACATGTGTGTGTGTGTGTGTGTGTGTAATGTAAATACATATATTTATATTGACACACATGCGGGCACACAGGCAGATCGAGTGCATTTTTATGTAAATATAGCAAGTATCTCTCCATTTACATATACACACATAAACATACACATACACATATAAATATACAAGTATGTATGAGCAAAGTGAAAATGCGTAAAAAGTCGACACCAAGCATATTTGCATAGCCTGGTTTTTGGGGTGCCCAACTGTGTCGCTCTGTGTCCTGGCACTGAATGCTATTTAAGGACTTTTGCCTTTCGATTCCGCGTTGCCTGTTTTCGCTTTTCATTTTCCATTTACGGCTTGACAGACTCGCACAGATGGAGACATCCACATCACGTCGCTATCAAGCCCAAAACCAGAAAACATGCTTGTAACTGTGGCTTGACTGCCTACACCGAACATATCCCCCCTCCAGCCCTTCCAACCAGTCATGTGTTATTGATTGAGATTGAGCCAAAAAACACAGGAACTGAAGCAGAAGGCACATGTGTTTGCAAATCATATTCAATATTTTGTCTGTTACGGACGCACACGGCCGACTCTACACTGAGAAAATTACATTTATATTTTCAGTTTTCAGTTTTTATTTATTTAGTTAATGTCGACTAATATCGGTTGTTGCAGAAAAATACTAGAATTAAGATATAAATTAAATTAATAAACAAATTAATATTAAACTTTATTTAATAGCAAATTTGGTTCAACATTTGTTTACATAGATTGTTAATATGGCAGAAGAAATCCAATCTGATCCAAAATTAAAAAGAGTTTGGATAAATTAGTTAAGATGCCCCAACCACAAAATGTTATTTCCGGGAAAAGACTTTTAAGATGGATTGAAATAGAGGACTCTGAATTGATTACAGAGTAGCCCAACTTCATGCAAAGAATAATTAATTGTACAATGTTTAAGAGAAAGTGGATAGAAGTAACAGGAAGGTATGAAGGGAAGCTAAATACAAAGATATCTTTTGATGTATGAAGCTATTACAACCCAGTCAAAGTGACGAAGAGCAAAAGGTAAGAATTTGTTTGCATTGATTTCGAATCTGCTTTGGTGAATCGGATATTGTGGAGACCACTCACAATATTCGTATTCCAGAATTGGATGCACAAGATGATTCGTACTTATTAACTGTTAGTAAAATATTCGTTTTCATTTCGAAACGCATGAGTTATAAATTTTACTTTAAAAATATGTCAGCTTTTGATATAGTGATAGACTCAGCTATATTTTCGCAGTGTACAGAATCCTAGTACACGGCTCTTTTCACCCCCTTTGAACCTTGTTGCAGTTGTTGTACTTACATTTGATTGCATTTGCCCTACCAAACTTAAACTTTGCTTGTTTTTAGAGATGTGCGCGCGTTGTTTGCCAAAAATTTGCCCCAACTTTTGCAACTTAATCATCGTAAGAGGAGTGTACAGAGGAGGGAGAGGTTGGGTGGTGAAACTGGTAACACTGTCGTCCAGCCAGGCCGCCACGTGCCAGAGCCATCTGTTGTTGGGAACTGGCAACAGCCGGCACCTTCCTGTTTCTGCACACAATATTGTTTTGGGGGCAAAGTTTTCACATTAAAAGCGTTTCATGCCAGCAAATTGTGAAATGGGTTCTGGCACACGCATTTTCTTACAATCTTCAATGTTCCTCTCATTTTTACTCATTTTGCTAAGGTGAAAGAGCCCAAAGGTGAGAGTTGCATAGTGCATGGCCTTTTAACAAATTTTTCCCTTTTAGTATAATATAAATAAGACAAATTTTAAATAGCTGCCTGTCGGAACACTGCTCTCCATCCAAAAATGGCCGCATTTTGCACTATGGTTCATTTTATCCATGGTTCCACTTGTTTGACTTTCAGCAGGCTAGAAATTTTCATGGGAAAAACAGTTGTACAGTTATATAGGTTACATGTTGAAAAGCCGAATACAAAGCTGAACAACTGCTGGCCAAATTGTGCATAAATCTGACAAAAGAGCCTTATGAAAATGCATTGAAAAACTCTCTTTTGTACACCCTGCAAGAAGGTATTCAAATTTTTGAATACAGTTGGCGAGGCTTTGAGGTATTTATGAATTATTAAAGTCGTTAAGAACAATGAACATTCTAGCAGATTCAAGCAAAATGGGTATCGCTATTACCTTCCAACTTTTTGCTCTCTTAGAGTATGCTGACATGCTTTGTAGAAACTTCCTTAAGTTCGATAACTTGAATTATGAAGAAGAGTAGTAAATTAGTAAATCTTATAGTCACAACTAAAATTAAAAAAAAAAAAAATCATTTTAAGTAAATATCTTTGGCGCTTCAGCTACAGCATTTTGTATATAATTTTGGTGAAAGCTTTGAAGACGTTTTCGTGCTCGTAACTAAGAAGTTTGTGTTAGTATTTTGCTATCGAGTTACATATTGCAAATATTTCTAGAAATAAAAAAATAGCAGCAAGAACAAAAGCAGTATAAGCGACTAAAGAAATCGCAGCTCAACTGCACTGGCAGCTTTGTACAAAGATGTTGTTATATTCCGAACCCACAAAAATGGGTATAAAGGGTATAATGAAGTTGTGCAAAAGTATGTAACAGGTGGAATGAAGCCTCGCCGAACTTATAAACTATATATATTCAGATACTAAAAGAGCTTTGAATTTAGAAATTCTTGTACAACACGCGCAGATCAAGTTTTTTTTAATATAATCGAAAAATATTTAAAATTAACTTGACATTTTATTGAGAGACTTTAAAAATTGCATCAAAATTGTATCATATTGAACTGATTCCCATCAATAGACGCCTGGATTTCCTGTGTACATGTGAGAAATGGATACCATTCTATTCGTGTCTGTAAATACATAGATATGTATAAATATGCACTCGTTTACTGCAAGACGATGATTTCAGTTCGGGCTTGAGAGTGAAAGTGAAACGCTGCATTAGTTTCTTATAGCCTTCGTGTCATACGAGTGTACAAAGCTTTTTAAATGGAAATTTGGCAATACAGATAGAATAATATATGTAGTTTACAGCTGGGTTCAGGGTATATCGTAATCGAGTACTCTTGACTATTGTATTGTTGTTGTTGTTGATGTTGTTGCACTCAGTTATTATATGGCTTTGGTTGGTATAGCGAATGCCATGTGAATTTTGCTGTCGCACTCGCTTCTCTTATTGCGCCGTATCTGCCTCACTTTTGTCGCATTTTCCACTTGCTTACAAACAATACAACACACAGATACACTCACATACATAAGACAGCGAGGTAAAATGGCCAACGCCATTGTCAATTTTTATATGAAAATGACCAAGCATCATATTCGGGCTCGAGTGTGTGTGTAGAGCAGAGCTGAGCAGCAGCTTTGTAGCTCTGAGTAACAAATGTCAGGCAACAGCTGGGACCGATTATCAATATTTATAGATAAATCTATTATTTTAAGGTATTTAAATATTCTCTCTTATATGCGTGACTTCGCAACTTCGACTTTTCCCAATAAAAGAAGAATAAATTAAATATATATAAATGATTATACGGCTTAATACTATTACCAACTACATTTTTCCTCTGGTCCAACCAATTTTGTTTATTAGAATGAGGCTCATTAATTAACAAGTCGATTTGTTACTATCGCTTTTTTAAACATGGTGGAATATTTATAGTTACTGATATATGTCACTGTGACTGCGAAGTAACAATTTTGCTCAACCCTATGGTTGTGTAATGCTGCTGCTGTTCCTGATGTGCATCAGTTGCTGCTGCTCCTTGTGCTTGTTCATGCTGCTCAATTCCAGTTAAGAGATAAAATTTTTATGACATCACTTTTCTTTTTCATTATTTATTTGACCGAAGAACGTTGCTGCTGCTGCTGCTGTTGCTGTTGCTGCTGTTGCTGGTGCTGCTGTTGCTGCTGTTACCCCTGACAATCCGCTGCAAATGATGAGCAACGACGCCTTGGGAGTTTATGAACTTTATGTTTATTGAAGCCATAAATTGGTAGTGCATATGGCTGTTGTGCGCTCTGGCCACGCTCGCGTATACGTTATATGTTACATATACGTTGTCTAAAGAGTGTACATGACTTGCATGATTTAATGATTTCTCTCTCGATAGTCACCGAAACACAACCATTACATTATTAATAACTCTATAGATAAGCTAATAACATTTAGGCTGTAACAAATTGCAATTAGTTGCCATATTGCACAAATTAAGCTTTTAAATTCTGCGATCAGATACGCATAACTGTATAATTAATTAGAATATAAATATGCCAGACTGAACAATTCAATTGCCCACACTGCAACATGAAGTTGTCCGCTGCACTTCTCCTGCAGTTGCTGCTGCTTATAATTTATCAAACAAGATGTTGGGTAACTCTGAAATGAAAATCAACTCAATAAAAAAACAAACTCATTTATTAAACTTTTTAAGCGTTTCTATACGTACACCGTTCAAATTTTGCAAATGGAAATTTTGAGACCGGAGGTGGATTTACTTATTGATTTTCGCGACCTTCGCATTATTGGACGTGAGCGTTCAATTAACGGCACTGTTTCTCTACTTGAGGATTTGGATACGAAAATACATCAAATGTCCATCGATTTTCACAATGATCCCAACAACAATCGTCAGTGGAAGGAAATGCTGTTCGGCGTGCCCGTCATGGACATCTGTCATGTAACACGATTATTTATTGGAAAATATGGCAAATCGACGATTCAACTGGGTGTCAATACAAATCTGCCATTGGATGGTAAAACTTGTCCGCTGCCTAAGGGCTCGTACTTTGTTAAGAATCTGTTAGTGAACACTGATTCGTGGCCCGATATAATACCCTATGGTGCCCTAAAGGCTAATTTTCGATATTACAAGAATTACAAGTTTGCAGGCGGAATAAGTTTTATTCTCGATATTGAGAAGAAACATTAATAAATATATGATTTCAATAAACTACTATTGCCAAAATCCCATACTTTCTTTTCTGCTTAAATAAATAATAATAATAATAGTTTCTGCTCTATAAATACATAAAATTCTGCACATAAATCGCATGGAAAATACTCGCTTAATCTTATTTTTGCGAATTTATTGCCAGAAAAAAAAACACATTTAAAAATTGCTTCTGGCATAAGCTGAAATGAATAATAGCAATGTAATCGATAAGTAGTCAATTATTTATTTGTCACGAGGTACATTTAATTACCACAATGAAACAGAATTAACATTAAATGAAGTCACTAATGCATCGATACATTAAATATATAAATTACAGTCGATTTAGAGCAATGAAACTACTCTTAATTCCTATTGAAATGTCTGAAATAAAAGCCACATAACGGAGTTATAGAGTTTGGCAGTTCCCAAAGTTGTTGCAGAAAGAACAATTTAATTACTCATGCCACAGATTTGCAATTGAAATAGCAAGTTTGATAAACTGGCACCACTTAGGCTTATTAATTAGTATAAAATTGCAATGGGTTTGCGTGTGAATACAAAATTGCCCAAATTAAGCATTTAAATGATGGAATCAGATAATGAACAGAACATGAACACTTTTTAATGGATAGCAATATAAATAGACAGACTTAACCATTTTAATTGACAAATTGCAATATGAAATTGACAGCTGCACTTATTCTTGTTGTTATCCTGCTTAAAGCCAACTTAGCAAGGAGTGGTGCAAGTATTAAAGAACACTAAATATCAACTATTATTTATTTCTTATTTATTCCAAAAGATTGCTTATAACTTCACTGCAAGAATTATGAGATTCGAGCCATTGGATACCGTGGAGAAGCTCTATATTGATTTCCGTGACATTCATGTTGTTGGTAAAGAACGCTCACTTAATGGAACTGCTCAAATTCTTGAGGACATGGATGCCAAAAATTTTCAAATGTCTGTACATTTTCAACACGATTCCAAGAGGAATAATCAATGGAGAAATATGTTGAACTCCATACCCATGATGGACGTCTGCACAGCAATGCGAATGTTTGTGAGAACCTATGGTAATCCAACATTGCGAAACGGTGAAAATACCAATCTACCATTTACGGCTCAACAGTGTCCATTGGAGCAGGGCACGTACTATGTGAAGAACATGTTGATGAACACCGATAACTGGCCGGATATAATGCCTATTGGTGGACTCCGGGGCACCATGCGTTTCTATAGACATCACAAATTGGTGGGCGGCTTTCGATTATCCATCAATGCAGAACGCCAACCCTTGTAAATCTTAACTACACTAGATCCCAGCCCTATTGAATTATTTAACTTGAATTGGCTATAAAATTTGTCGAATTTCAAATATTACAAATATGCATACAATGTATCAAAGCTTCAAAACACATTTGTTGTAAATGTTTTTTTTGTTGTTGGCAAATACTTGAAAATCTGCAACATTTTGCAAATGGATCACATTAAAAGCCACTAAAAACCCATTAAATTCGTATAAAATCCCATTTTTGTGCATTTAATGTCATAAATCACAAAATTTCACAGTACATGCATTAGAGAAGCACACACACACACACACACACATACACACACATACACACATTTACATGTACACACATGAAGCTGGGGCTTAGTTGCTGCCAACAAAAGCCAAACAATGAGAATTGTGCGTTGTTTGTCGTCAGCTTTTGGGCCTGTATCCAACAGCAGCAGAATTGTGAACAAAATGTATCTGCTTAGGTCCTGCTCTGGTCCTGGCTCCCATTTCTGACTCAAACTGACTGCAATACCCGCACTCGACGGCCAGCAGAGTATTTTAAGCAGACTTTGTAACTGACTTTAAGTGTTTGGATTAAAAGTTGAATATGAAAAATTAAATTTAGCAACAAAGTCAATTAGAGCATGAAATCTGACGTAGTTTTCCTATTTTTATGTTAAGCACTCTAATTAGCTAATAAAATGAAAAAGTTCTTCCATAACAAGTCATGCAAATAGTTTATAAGCAACTTAGTGAAACTACAGTTAATCCATTTTACCATGTCTGAAGTGGGCTTGTGTGGTCTGATGGAATATAGTCTAAATATATTGCTGTTAAAGCTGAGCAAATATGGCAAGATATCTACACTAAAAGCTTCACAATAATATAATTACGCAAAACGTTGAATTGTTGTTAAGACAACTAAGGCAGCAATTGATGGCAAAGTGAGCTCAGATTCTAAACAGATTCTATCAAATCAGCCTCGAAAATAAATTATTGCCATATAGCGAAGTCCTTGGCTAGAACGGATAAATGCCATGCAGCTGTTTAAAAGTAGTTAGTAACATATACAATTTTATTGTACTGGTCGACGCACTGAAGTAGAATTAATCCTGTCATATTTATTGTATCTATAAATTTAGTTGATTGCATGCTTCAATTATAAACAATATAATAATAAATCCAGCTTAAAAATGGAATAATTGTTGGTGAAAAATTAGTTAAATTTTAAGAGGGTGTGGGTATATTTGAGTCGTGCAAACTGCTCTACTCTCTACTCATGTTGTTTTGCCAATGTGTTTGTGTCTGTGTATGTTCTGTGATTTTTCATGCAAATACAGACTGTCCCTTTTTTTGGCTTTGGGTTTGTTTTGTGGTCGCAAGGCATTTAAATGCAATCCAGGCTGGATTTATAAAAGTCTGCTCCCCTTGCTTCCCATGATTGCGGTCACTGTATTCATTGAGCAATAAAATCGAAAAATACCAAACAAAATGCACACACAGTCAAACAAACACAATAAATAGATATACATATTTGTTTTTGTGTGTTTTTGACAATAAACAAATTTCAGCACAAACGAACGAAATTTGTCTGTCGCAAATTTCATTGGCATTTTATTTTGGTTGCCCAAATTGTGTGGTCAGCCAATTGTTGATGATCCCAAATTGTAATGCAATTGCTCATAATTAATTGATTTGACAGCAAGCAAAAACAAAATCCCTAAAGCCAGCGGCAACTTCAAACAAGAAGATACAATTTGAATTATGTGAGTGTGTATGTGGCGAGCAGAAAACACATGTTGTAACCTGGCGCTCAAAACAAAACAAGCTGTCATAAAAAAAGATGCTTATAGCAAAAGGCAACTCTCTGGAAACTGGAAGAACTCAGTTAACCAAAGCGCATAAATGTAAGGAGCTGCTGCTGCACCTGCAGCTCATGTTTGCCAACAGCCAAAGAGCCCAGACAGATATATAGTTAGGCTACAACAAGTACAAAACACTTTGCCAACAATCAGGTGGCAGCAACAGTAATGCACAGTGGGCTCAACAAACTTTTATCGTTGCAAATTTGGTAAGCTTTAGGCCAATTAAGATGCTAAAAATATTATTAATTGAATAAGTAATTTAGATAGTCCTTAAACGAATGCAAGTATATTAGTTAGGGAGTCAGTAAGATTCTAAGATTCAATTTTATTTTTTACAAATCAAACATACTTTTTATCATTACTCTACAAATATTTAATTTTACTAAAATTTGCTATTCAGAAGCTTCACAAATTTTCATAATATATATTTATTACATATAAGACATTAGTTCCTTAATATAAATAAATACATAGTTTAATATTAAAATACCTGTTTAGAGTGGGAATATTTCACTTCAGTGTCAAAGAACGTCACACAATTTGTTTAAAATAATATTTTTAAATTAAATAAAAATAAAATTAAAATTACAAATGCAATTAAATCAAATTAAAAGAATACTCAAATTAAAAATGTAAATAATAAAAATAAAAGATGGAATAAATCGGAGGTTATTCAATAATAATCTCTGAAAATGTGGACTAAGATAAATGTTCTATCGTAAAGGAGATACATATCGTATATTGATATTGAAAATGTGAAGAAGAGTCAATTGTGAATGACAACAATTGAATGGGGATAAAGTTCCTTATAGATGTACCACAAATAAACAACTTTTGACCATTTTATATGCTATATCTCTTAGTCATTTAAACCAATCATGTTTTTATAGTTGCAACGTTTTTACGGGCAGCAGCTCCACAGTGCAATGTCAGCAGGTGGAACAATAAAAGTGAAAAGCGCACTCCAAGTGTAGCATTCGCAAATGCTATAAACATGTAGCTCCCTTTCTGTCGGTGTGTCTGTCTGTCTGTCTTTGTGTCTTTGTGGATGTCTCTCTCTCCCATTTTGAATCCGCTCGTACCCCAAAACCAACACTTACCCCTGCCATACATTATTCCTCACTGCTTTCTATCGCACCAAAGTTGGCCATATTTTTGGTGCCATCCTCTCAAATATTGTTTTCCACCTGGTTTGTATCGCAGGGACATGTGTTTTTGGTTTCAAAACTCCCCAGCAAGCTGCTTGCGGCTCTTTGCTTATTTGGCTGCCCCATGAATAATGGGCATTGGCATTGCCTGCCTGCCTGCCTTTCAGCTTATTGTGTGAATTATTAGCGCTGTGTGTATTAAAATGCAGCTCAAGCTAATGCACATGAACAGAAGAGCAGACAGTCCACGCGGCATATGTGCAATGTGATTTACAAGCCAAACTACTCGACGCCATATTTATGGCCATAAGAGTGTTTAACAGTTAACTGTAAAGCCATCGAGCAGCTGAGACAAGGCAATGCGTAAGCCAATAATAGCATTCCATAACAAATGCGTCTACGTTTCATATGTATATGCATTTGTTTATGTGCATATATCTACATATGTGCATTGCTTGAATGCATTAAAAGACAATTTGTGGTTGGCACTGCGTATCATTTGATTACATTCTTTGGACCGGATTTAGCTTTAAGGGCTGAAAAATTGTAAATGGCAATGGATTGGTCAAGCTTTTAAATTTAACTGCAAATTGAATTGTATAACTAAAACTCTATTATTTGGCCTGAGAGATAATATGTATATATTATCAATATTCAATATTCACAAAAATCTTTCTAATAAATAAATAATTGATAAAACAACAAGCTTGTTAGTTTAATCTGTAATAGTAGGCAGACTACTCAGAAGTTACACTGAATTAAAGTTTATTAAGTTGAAAAGAGAGTTGTCAAATAAAATTTAATAAATCAATAGCCAAAAGATAAGTTTGCTTTGTTTTTATTGCATATCGAAAATGTTTGGATTGCATATATGAAATTCATCAATGCACAATCGGAACTGTGTTTTTTTGCTTACACATTTATCGAAGCGTACAATTTGAAATTCGATACTCCATATTACTAAAGCGAGGATACATACGTATATATACGCAATATATACATTTTAATTGTGCATTATTCAAACATGTCACGTATCAGATGAGGAGAAATTGTCCGCTGTCGCATCAGTTCGATTAACATAAGCCAATATGCACTCAAAGCTATATGCTGAAGAATATTAATTTTCACATTTAATAAGCGCTATTAATTACAATGTTTAAAGCTGCATGAGAGTGGCATTTTTAATTAATGGTTGTGGTCGTTTCTTGTTAACAGTTTCCAGTTTCCAGTTCCTTGTTGCATTAAGGACCATAATTAAATTCACGGTTACCAGCCAGGTAAGTTAAACAGGACCAACACTATTGTGATCAGAAATCAATGTCTTCTGTTTGTTGCCATTGCGTATGCGTAATATAATTGATGAGCCGGTGTGTGTGTGTGTGTGTGTGTATTGGTTTGTTTGCTTGTGTGGGTGTGTGTGTGTGTGTGTGTTCAGTGACCTGCTTTGCTGTCAGTCTGTTCGAGTAGGCGTTGCCCGGTAGCGTTGTCAGCATGCAGCACAAACCGGAAACCGGATGCAAAACTGTGGCACAGGAAACGACGTTGTCAGATGGCGACTGCAACTGCAACTGCAACTGCAACTATAACGAGCACGAAGCAACTGGCAACAATTAAAGCGATAAAAGTGCAAAAATGTTCACATTTCAGCAGCGTTAATCAGCAGCAGGCGACAGCCACATAGTTGCGGATATGAGTGCCTGCCGAAGCGGCAGGAGCTGCAGCAGCCACGCTGGATGGCAATTTGAGGCCACTTGAAAAAGTCTGAGCACATGCAATGAACTCACTTGGGACGCAATCCAACCAAAACAGACCAACGCAGACCTTGCCACAAAATGACACACATTTAAGCTAAATGAGAAGGCTCTCAAGGGTTTCATCTTATTTTCTTTTTTGGGGTAAATTTAATCATTTAATTGAGGTGAGAGGTTGTATAATTGAGCTAATGGATGAGCGATTTACGACTCTCCAAGTGTCCAGTCCACACAATATATGTATCCATGCGTAGCTTGCCGACAGCTCTTTGT